AGCTCCTCAGGGGCATCCATAAATTACCACACACGAATTCCATGGCCTCTCTTTCGAAATATATAAATTTCCGTTATTAGATCTAATTTAGTGTTTTAATTATTAGGTATATTAGATTTTGATATGTTACGTCACGAAATTTAGGAGCCGTTCCATGTTTTGGTCGGGAAATGTAATTATATGTAAACATTACAATTTGTCGCCTAAAACTAAAACTAAAGTATGTGACGTATGAATTTATGGGTGGCCTCTTATAGTATGTAATAAGTACCAAATAATAATATGAACAGGTAGACTACACATACCTACTTCTAACTATACGTCTGGCGCCACAATTTCACCCACTTTCGCATAAAACAAACCATAAATCTATTATGATGCTAATTCTTTCCTGTTAATGAAGCTTTTAAAAAAAAACATGGATTATGTATTGTTCGCTATTTCGGTTGACATTGTTTGAAGCCGTTTGCACAGTTGTGGCAATGTTAACAATGACAATCCGGGTCACTGGACCACTCGTAGTGTTGTTTAATCGTACAATACAATATTGAATAGCCGAAGTCAAAACTGTTACAGATGTCAAACTATATGTTAAGTTAATGGCGTGGAGTGTACAAATTATTAGCCCATAACGAATTTCGTTTTTTTTTATATATAAAATAGGAGTAGCAAACAAGCTGCTCACCTAATTCTTATCGTATATTTACTGAATTAAAAGCATGACTAAGATGTCATGCTTTTTATTCAGTAAATATACTGTCTACAACCGAAACACAGCTTAGAAAGGTTTGGCGGCGTGGTTACCACAATCTCACCTATTGAAATAGGTGAAATTGAGGTAACCAACATTTAGCCTAAGTTAATGGCGTTGAGTGTACACATTTTTAGGCACACACACACACACACACACACATTACGGAATTATCTCGAAATCTTCCATTAGAAAGAGACGAACTTCTTAGTATTTCCTGGATCCACAGTGTGTGGTCTATAGTGTAGCAGAGAGGAAAACTCTGGAAAGGAAACTCGAGACTTCTGAGCCGGGTGTAGGGAGCCTCCTTGCTGTCGTACGTCAACACTAACCTTCACCGTTCGTGTTTCTCTATTTGCCCAGCCAAATCTGGTAGAGGCCTGCTAGTGCAGCTTTAGATGTATGTTCCAGTATAGAATTTGTTTCTAAAGATGCACTGCAATTCTGACAAAAAACAGACTAACGCTAGTATACGTCTCGCTACTACTTGGACTGCGTTAGCCAGTTTTCTTTAATTCGTGTACTAAATCTTCCTAATTAATTTCTTATATAATATTCATGAAACATATAATGGAATTGTTCAAATTGTTTAGATGTCTTTCCCTTTTTGGACCGCGTCGTGTACTTGTGTCTCGGTGACGTCGTGTATGCGGGGCCAACCCGCAACCTGCTGGATTACTTCGGGAGCATCGGATTCCCTTGTCCACAACTTGAGAACCCGTTAATGTACTACTGTAAGTATTAATATGTAATTTATGACGTACTATCATGATAAGACAACTATTATAAAACGTTGGTAATCGTGCATATACGCATAATATTGATTGGCAAAAGGCATTGACTATCACTATAAAAGTTACTTATATTAGCCTATATATTATTCTGATACATAAACTATATTACTGTAAAGTTTCATCGAAATCCGTTCAGTAGTTTTTACGTGCTAGAGTAACAAACATCTATACTCAAAAACTTTCGCGTTTATAATTTTATTAAGATTAAGAATAATATTGGCATACGGTGACTTTGCACAAAACAATCTGGTACGTACAAAGTACAAAGAATTCTGGGAATGCCTATATATGTAGAATAGATACTAGATACATTCTTAGCCATTACATTTTAATTTCACCCCTTCTTTCCAGTATGTCTATCGACAGTGGATAGACGATCCCGAGAGCGCTTCATAGAATCCAACCATCAGATCGCGGCGTTAGTTGAAAAATTCAAGCTGGAAGGACAAGGTCTAATGCAAGGCAACCTGAATGAGCATAGTCGTATAATTAATCCAAACAAGATTCAGTTGAATTACGGCAAGCCAAGCGGCTTCAAAGTCATTTGGATGTTGTATGTGTGAGTATTTTTATACCTACCTATAAAAATGAAAGCCACATGAGTTTCACACCAGAATCAATTCAGATATTATTATTTCATAATAATTACTATCGTTGTTATTTCAGGAGAATGCTCGTATCAATATTCAATTTAAAGAAGCACGGTATAAAACAAATGTGTATGAGATTATTTTGTCTACCTATATATTTTTTAATACTGTGGCTCTTCTACAACGAGGCTAAGGTAACTAATCATCCGGCTCAAAGGATCATTTTATTTGCTAGTGTTTTTACATTTATTCTGTTTTCTTGTGCTATTTGCAGGACTATCAAAGAACTTTTATAACTAAGAGTGGACTTATATTTAACGCTATGGTAGGCACCTACTTCATCAGTATAATGAATACTATTTGTCTATGTGAGTATAATAAAGGAGTCTCCATTTTTTTTTATTTGTAAATGACGGAATCTAGATCTTTTAGTTTGATATTGAATTCTAGAAATCTAGAGCCTTCTGATTGTTTCTTATATTAATCATGCTATATATTAGCAAATTATAAATTACAAGATTTATGTCTGACCAGTACCTAAAGCAATTTTTTATTCGGTTTTGTTTCTGTATATCTTATCATCAGACGAACGGTCAGCTTATCTTATTAACCGAACCGAAATCAGCTCGTTAACCATATTAATTATATAAAATAAATAATAAAAACCGATATGGAAATACATTACATAATCAGGATAGAGCCCTAGTCTCCTGCATAAGCCGCTGTCCTAATCAGAGTGCGGTGTAATAGACATGTCAGCACTAATTATTCATGTAACATTTCCAGTTGGTCCATATAGAACAAGATACTACCAAGAAACGCAAGAAGGACTGTACAGTGGCGCCAGTTTACTGCTCTCCTGGAATTTGGTATCTTTACCATTCTCCTTCATCAGTACATTTGCCTCAGTCGCTATAGTTTATTCGTAAGTGAACATGTTATATGCCCTTACTACATTATAAGATGACCTCTACGTTAAGTATGATAAAATTCAGAAATAGATTGATTAATTCTAGTTCTAGTTCCGTGATTTATTCTAATGAACAGATCTGAAAACATCATCAAAATACCACTATTAAAACGATTAAATTTTTTTTTCTTTTCAAATATAAAACAAATAACGGCGTGCTGTCATTCAGTTGTATGATTACGCATAAGTAAACATTACGTTATTGGTTGGTTTAAATTGTTTTAAACGTGGTTTTAGAAATGAACGCACAAAGTAAAGTAACTTGCAGAAGTTTTTACAAGTTTTGTACCTACTGTTTGCAGATCTCTTAAAAAGTATTTAAACAATACCTATTTATGATTTTTTAGGATAATCGGAGATATGTCTGAAACATTGGACTATGTGTACTTCTCACTCGTGTTATGGTCGTGCTACGTTTACACAGAGCAGCAGACCATTGCCATCATGATGTTCGTGAAGAACGGTCTAATCGCGGCCATTGTTAATATTTATATTACTTGTATTTATGTTATGCTAGCTAGCGGCATCTTGAGGTGAGTTGTTTCATATTTTTTTTTTTTTTAATAAATTAATACTTTTTCGACTGTTATACCTAACGTAGGTATATGGTAGTTTGAAAACTTTTAGAAGACAGTATATAGTCATATTGTCTGCCTTCATGTAATATAAGCGTATTAGCTATATTTTTGTTTATCTGTTGTCCACTCTGTGAACACTTGGCATGCATGTAAAGGGGCACGCTACTTGCATTGTGTCCGTTAGATATAAACTCATGACCTTCATTGTGAAGTCGGATAAAACAGTAGGCCACGACACTCGAGAAAATAATTATATAGATTATTTATCAATCAATTTTGTACTATTTTGTCATGAGTATTTTTATATCACCGGCGACTGCTTATTTCGCAGCTAGCTGTGTTTCGATTGCAGAACCTCGTAAGTCAGTCGATATAGCTGTGACTAACAACAACAGATAATGGAATCTTCAGCAAATTATTGTGATAAGTCATAATTTCTGAAGATTCAGTTAAATAATTATTAGTAATCATATGGCCAATTCTCCACTAGTGAAGTTTATGATAATAAAAACTGAAATAAATATTAGATACTGTAAACACAAGCATGTCTGTCTGTATTTATCATTATAAAATCATTAATTCATTTAAAATTCATTCCAGATCATATAAAGGCTTTGAAGAGTGGCTGTATTATATAACATATATAACACATACACGGTACGCGTCGATATTCCTGCACCAAAATGTGTTCAGACAACCCATCTTCAACAACCTGCCATACACGGACAACGAGAACTGCACGTCTATAACCAGTCTTATACAAACATCATCGAGTCTAAATACAAATTCGAACTCGAATTGCAGATATGTGAATGGCAAAGGATTCCTGGCTGAAAGATTCACATCGAAAAATTTCGTCGGTGATATTTACACTTCTGGAGATTTCAACTTAGAGTTCAATTTGGGAATCTCGTTTGCCTTTTCAGTTGGTCTCATGGTTTTCAATAAGTTTTTATATCTCATGCCACTGCCCAGTTATATCACAGATAAATTTAGAGAGTGAAAATAGAAGTAAATTGATATTATTGATTAGATGTAACAAATGTAACAAACGTAAAATATTATTTAGAAATTAATCGTATTTTATTCAAATATAAAATAAAGATTATTACTTATTAAAAAGCTGTTGTTATGTAAAATGTCATTGGAAAAATATTATTACATTAAATACTTTTCCTAATAACTAAAACAGGGCGTTTTAATACATTTAAGTATTAAAATACTTATTTAACTAAGACTAAGTACTCGCTGCGTTTAAGAAAATATTTAGAAATGTGACGTTACAAAACTAACAGCGACACCCAAACCCTTGACACAATGTCACAGTTAGTCAACCATACTCCCTTTAATGTGCGCCGTAAGTATCTGAGGACTATTAAAATAATAAAATCTTTTTTCTTAAAAACGACTTTATTATACATTAGTGAAATTGACACAATTCAGCATCAAATATAGTTGGGCACAGCCTCACATTTATCGGGTCACCAGCAGTCACTAGTTTTTTCATAAAGTTTGTATTGATTAGCATGCTTTTTGAATCAACACTTTTGTAACGAACGATGTTTGACTGCTGTTTTTGCATAAGCCAAATATTACAGCAATACATACAGCCAAATCTATATATATAATCTGTTACAATTTTATAAAGTCGCTTAGGGCTTTTGGGTAGGTATATATTACTGTAGTTTCCGTTTGTGATTCATTTTCATTCTCCGTTCCAACACATGGCGTACCATCCTCTGCAATGAAAAATTATACTACTCTTATTTATACTCTGTGCGCTGTAGCATGGTGCGGGTGACAGTTACTAATTGTACATTTAACAATTGGTATATTTAAGTTAATAAAGTTATTAATGATTTAATATATTCCTAATGTGCTACAGCTGAAGTACTATGTCATAATTTGTAAATCACGGCAACTTTTAAGAGTGAAACGTTTTCAGTTTCATTACCGAAAAAGTTAATGAAACTGTCACTGTCATGGTATAGCTACTATGAGTTTTTTTAATGCATTAATCTAAATTTGTAGGACCAGTGACGTGATATTCATCAGTGTTGAATTTTTTTCAACACCGATGAATATCATTGAAAAATGTAGAGTTTATAGTGGTAATAACGTCCCGTGTGATAGATCCCCCGTCGTTACGTTTATTACGTTATTACGTTTCTTTCATACCACCTAGTTTAAAATCCTATATTTATATTATTTAGATAATATCTATATTTTTTTTTGTTTCAAGTAATATCACTGCGGGTACTTATTAAATTTGTTTGATATAGCTGTTTTTATCATTAAAATAAATAAATCAAATCGGTTGCTCGGTTATGATTCATGTATTTCTGATAAAAGAACTCTTGATTAGACTCCTAAATATATCTGAAACATGTTGTTTAGAGTCTTTTAGCTCCTCAGGGGCATCCATAAATTACCACACACGAATTCCATGGCCTCTCTTTCGAAATATATAAATTTCCGTTATTAGATCTAATTTAGTGTTTTAATTATTAGGTATATTAGATTTTGATATGTTACGTCACGAAATTTAGGAGCCGTTCCATGTTTTGGTCGGGAAATGTAATTATATGTAAACATTACAATTTGTCGCCTAAAACTAAAACTAAAGTATGTGACGTATGAATTTATGGGTGGCCTCTTATAGTATGTAATAAGTACCAAATAATAATATGAACAGGTAGACTACACATACCTACTTCTAACTATACGTCTGGCGCCACAATTTCACCCACTTTCGCATAAAACAAACCATAAATCTATTATGATGCTAATTCTTTCCTGTTAATGAAGCTTTTAAAAAAAAACATGGATTATGTATTGTTCGCTATTTCGGTTGACATTGTTTGAAGCCGTTTGCACAGTTGTGGCAATGTTAACAATGACAATCCGGGTCACTGGACCACTCGTAGTGTTGTTTAATCGTACAATACAATATTGAATAGCCGAAGTCAAAACTGTTACAGATGTCAAACTATATGTTAAGTTAATGGTGTGGAGTGAACAAATTATTAGCCCATAACGAATTTAGTTTTTTTTATATATAAAATAAGAATAGCAAACAAGCTGTTCACCTAATTCTTATCGTATATTTACTGAATTAAAAGCATGACTAAGATGTCATGCTTTTAATTCAGTAAATATACTGTCTACAACCGAAACATAGCTTAGAAAGGCTTGGCGGCGTGGTTACCTCAATCTCACCTATTGAAATAAGTGAGATTGAGGTAACCACGCAGACAACATTTAGCCTAAGTTAATGACGTTGAGTGTACACATTTTTAGGCACACACACACACACACACACACATTACGGAATTATCTCGAAATCTTCCATTAGAAAGAGACGAACTTCTTAGTATTTCCTGGATCCACAGTGTGTGGTCTATAGTGTAGCAGAGAGGAAAACTCTGGAAAGGAAACTCGAGACTTGTGAGCCGGGTGTAGGGGGCCTCCTTGCTGTCGTACGTCAACACTAACCTTCACCGTTCGTGTTTCTCTATTTGCCCAGCCAAATCTGGTAGAGGCCTGCTAGTGCAGCTTTAGATGTATGTTCCAGTATAGAATTTGTTTCTAAAGATGCACTGCAATTCTGACAAAAAACAGACTAACGCTAGTATACGTCTCGCTACTACTTGGACTGCGTTAGCCAGTTTTCTTTAATTCGTGTACTAAATCTTCCTAATTAATTTCTTATATAATATTCATGAAACATATAATGGAATTGTTCAAATTGTTTAGATGTCTTTCCCTTTTTGGACCGCGTCGTGTACTTGTGTCTCGGTGACGTCGTGTATGCGGGGCCAACCCGCAACCTGCTGGATTACTTCGGGAGCATCGGATTCCCTTGTCCACAACTTGAGAACCCGTTAATGTACTACTGTAAGTATTAATATGTAATTTATGACGTACTATCATGATAAGACAACTATTATAAAACGTTGGTAATCGTGCATATACGCATAATATTGATTGGCAAAAGGCATTGACTATCACTATAAAAGTTACTTATATTAGCCTATATATTATTCTGATACATAAACTATATTACTGTAAAGTTTCATCGAAATCCGTTCAGTAGTTTTTACGTGCTAGAGTAACAAACATCTATACTCAAAAACTTTCGCGTTTATAATATTATTAAGATTAAGAATAATATTGGCATACAGGGTGACTTTGCACAAAACAATCTGGTACGTACAAAGTACAAAGAATTCTGGGAATGCCTATATATGTAGAATAGATACTAGATACATTCTTAGCCATTACTTTACAATTTCACCCCTTCTTTCCAGTATGTCTATCGACAGTGGATAGACGATCCCGAGAGCGCTTCATAGAATCCAACCATCAGATCGCGGCGTTAGTTGAAAAATTCAAGCTGGAAGGACAAGGTCTAATGCAAGGCAACCTGAATGAGCATAGTCGTATAATTAATCCAAACAAGATTCAGTTGAATTACGGCAAGCCAAGCGGCTTCAAAGTCATTTGGATGTTGTATGTGTGAGTATTTTTATACCTACCTATAAAAATGAAAGCCACATGAGTTTCACACCAGAATCAATTCAGATATTATTATTTCATAATAATTACTATCGTTGTTATTTCAGGAGAATGCTCGTATCAATATTCAATTTAAAGAAGCACGGTATAAAACAAATGTGTATGAGATTATTTTGTCTACCTATATATTTTTTAATACTGTGGCTCTTCTACAACGAGGCTAAGGTAACTAATCATCCGGCTCAAAGGATCATTTTATTTGCTAGTGTTTTTACATTTATTCTGTTTTCTTGTGCTATTTGCAGGACTATCAAAGAACTTTTATAACTAAGAGTGGACTTATATTTAACGCTATGGTAGGCACCTACTTCATCAGTATAATGAATACTATTTGTCTATGTGAGTATAATAAAGGAGTCTCCATTTTTTTTTATTTGTAAATGACGGAATCTAGATCTTTTAGTTTGATATTGAATTCTAGAAATCTAGAGCCTTCTGATTGTTTCTTATATTAATCATGCTATATATTAGCAAATTATAAATTACAAGATTTATGTCTGACCAGTACCTAAAGCAATTTTTTATTCGGTTTTGTTTCTGTATATCTTATCATCAGACGAACGGTCAGCTTATCTTATTAACCGAACCGAAATCAGCTCGTTAACCATATTAATTATATAAAATAAATAATAAAAACCGATATGGAAATACATTACATAATCAAGATAGCGCCCTAGTCTCCTGCATAAGCCGCTGTCCTAATCAGAGTGCGGTGTAATAGACATGTCAGCACTAATTATTCATGTAACATTTCCAGTTGGTCCATATAGAACAAGATACTACCAAGAAACGCAAGAAGGACTGTACAGTGGCGCCAGTTTACTGCTCTCCTGGAATTTGGTATCTTTACCATTCTCCTTCATCAGTACATTTGCCTCAGTCGCTATAGTTTATTCGTAAGTGAACATGTTATATGCCCTTACTACATTATAAGATGACCTCTACGTTAAGTATGATAAAATTCAGAAATAGATTGATTAATTCTAGTTCTAGTTCCGTGATTTATTCTAATGAACAGATCTGAAAACATCATCAAAATACCACTATTAAAACGATTAAATTTTTTTTTTTCTTTTCAAATATAAAACAAATAACGGCGTACTGTCATTCAGTTGTATGATTACGCATAAGTAAACATTACGTTATTGGTTGGTTTAAATTGTTTTAAACGTGGTTTTAGAAATGAACGCACAAAGTAAAGTAACTTGCAGAAGTTTTTACAAGTTTTGTACCTACTGTTTGCAGATCTCTTAAAAAGTATTTAAACAATACCTATTTATGATTTTTTAGGATAATCGGGGATATGTCTGAAACATTGGACTATGTGTACTTCTCACTCGTGTTATGGTCGTGCTACGTTTACACAGAGCAGCAGACCATTGCCATCATGATGTTCGTGAAGAACGGTCTAATCGCGGCCATTGTTAATATTTATATTACTTGTATTTATGTTATGCTAGCTAGCGGCATCTTGAGGTGAGTTGTTTCATAAATTTTTTTTTTTTTAATAAATTAATACTTTTTCGACTGTTATACCTAACGTAGGTATATGGTAGTTTGAAAACTTTTAGAAGACAGTATATAGTCATATTGTCTGCCTTCATGTAATATAAGCGTATTAGCTATATTTTTGTTTATCTGTTGTCCACTCTGTGAACACTTGGCATGCATGTAAAGGGGCACGCTACTTGCATTATGTCCGTTAGATATAAACTCATGACCTTCATTGTGAAGTCGGATAAAACAGTAGGCCACGACACTCGAGAAAATAATTATATAGATTATTTATCAATCAATTTTGTACCATTTTGTTATGAGTATTTTTATATCACTGGCGACTGCAGATTTCGCAACTAGCTGTGTTTCGATTGCAGAACCTCGTAAGTCAGTCGATATAGCTGTGACTAACAACAACAGATAAGGGAATCTTCAGCAAATTATTGTGATAAGTCATAATTTCTGAAGATTCAGTTAAATAATTATTAGTAATCATATGGCCAATTCTCCACTAGTGAAGTTTATGATAATAAAAACTGAAATAAATATTACTGCAAACACAAGCATGTCTGTCTGTATTTATCATTATAAAATCATTAATACATTTAAAATTCATTACAGATCATATAAAGGCTTTGAAGAGTGGCTGTATTATATAACATACATAACACATACACGGTACGCGTCGATATTCCTGCACCAAAATGTGTTCAGACAACCCATCTTCAACAACCTGCCATACACGGACAACGAGAACTGCACGTCTATAACCAGTCTTATACAAACATCATCGAGTCTAAATACAAATTCGAACTCGAATTGCAGATATGTGAATGGCAAAGGATTCCTGGCTGAAAGATTCACATCGAAAAATTTCGTCGGTGATATTTACACTTCTGGAGATTTCAACTTAGAGTTCAATTTGGGAATCTCGTTTGCCTTTTCAGTTGGTCTCATGGTTTTCAATAAGTTTTTATATCTCATGCCACTGCCCAGTTATATCACAGATAAATTTAGAGAGTGAAAATAGAAGTAAATTGATATTATTGATTAGATGTAACAAATGTAACAAACGTAAAATATTATTTAGAAATTAATCGTATTTTATTCAAATATAAAATAAAGATTATTACTTATTAAAAAGCTGTTTTTATGTAAAATGTCATTGGAAAAATATTATTACATTAAATACTTTTCCTAATAACTAAAACAGGGCGTTTTAATACATTTAAGTATTAAAATACTTATTTAACTAAGACTAAGTACTCGCTGCGTTTAAGAAAATATTTAGAAATGTGACGTTACAAAACTAACAGCGACACCCAAACCCTTGACACAATGTCACAGTTAGTCAACCATACTCCCTTTAATGTGCGCCGTAAGTATCTGAGGACTATTAAAATAATAAAATCTTTTTTCTTAAAAACGACTTTATTATACATTAGTGAAATTGACACAATTCAGCATCAAATATAGTTGGGCACAGCCTCACATTTATCGGGTCACCAGCAGTCACTAGTTTTTTCATAAAGTTTGTATTGATTAGCATGCTTTTTGAATCAACACTTTTGTAACGAACGATGTTTGACTGCTGTTTTTGCATAAGCCAAATATTACAGCAATACATACAGCCAAATCTATATATATAATCTGTTACAATTTTATAAAGTCGCTTAGGGCTTTTGGGTAGGTATATATTACTGTAGTTTCCGTTTGTGATTCATTTTCATTCTCCGTTCCAACACATGGCGTACCATCCTCTGCAATGAAAAATTATACTACTCTTATTTATACTCTGTGCGCTGTAGCATGGTGCGGGTGACGGTTACTAATTTTACGTTTAACAATTGCTATATTTAAGTTAATACACTTATTAATGATTTAATATATTCCTAATGTGCTACAGCTGAAGTACTATGTCATAATTTGTAAATCACGGCAACTTTTAAGAGTGAAACGTTTTCAGTTTCATTACCGAAAAAGTTAATGAAACTGTCACTGTCATGGTATAGCTACTATGAGTTTTTTTAATGCATTAATCTAAATTTGTAGGACCAGTGACGTGATATTCATCAGTGTTGAATTTTTTTCAACACCGATGAATATCATTGAAAAATGTAGAGTTTATAGTGGTAATAACGTCCCGTGTGATAGATCCCCCGTCGTTACGTTTATTACGTTATTACGTTTCTTTCATACCACCTAGTTTAAAATCCTATATTTATATTATTTAGATAATATCTATATTTTTTTTTGTTTCAAGTAATATCACTGCGGGTACTTATTAAATTTGTTTGATATAGCTGTTTTTATCATTAAAATAAATAAATCAAATCGGTTGCTCGGTTATGATTCATGTATTTCTGATAAAAGAACTCTTGATTAGACTCCTAAATATATCTGAAACATGTTGTTTAGAGTCTTTTAGCTCCTCAGGGGCATCCATAAATTACCACACACGAATTCCATGGCCTCTCTTTCGAAATATATAAATTTCCGTTATTAGATCTAATTTAGTGTTTTAATTATTAGGTATATTAGATTTTGATATGTTACGTCACGAAATTTAGGAGCCGTTCCATGTTTTGGTCGGGAAATGTAATTATATGTAAACATTACAATTTGTCGCCTAAAACTAAAACTAAAGTATGTGACGTATGAATTTATGGGTGGCCTCTTATAGTATGTAATAAGTACCAAATAATAATATGAACAGGTAGACTACACATACCTACTTCTAACTATACGTCTGGCGCCACAATTTCACCCACTTTCGCATAAAACAAACCATAAATCTATTATGATGCTAATTCTTTCCTGTTAACGAAGCTTTTAAAAACATGGATTATGTATTGTTCGCTATTTCGGTTGACATTGTTTGAAGCCGTTTGCACAGTTGTGGCAATGTTAACAATGACAATCCGGGTCACTGGACCACTCGTAGTGTTGTTTAATCGTACAATACAATATTGAATAGCCGAAGTCAAAACTGTTACAGATGTCAAACTATATGTTAAGTTAATGGTGTGGAGTGAACAAATTATTAGCCCATAACGAATTTAGTTTTTTTTATATATAAAATAAGAATAGCAAACAAGCTGTTCACCTAATTCTTATCGTATATTTACTGAATTAAAAGCATGACTAAGATGTCATGCTTTTAATTCAGTAAATATACTGTCTACAACCGAAACATAGCTTAGAAAGGTTTGGCGGCGTGGTTACCACAATCTCACCTATTGAAATAGGTGAAATTGAGGTAACCACGCAGACAACATTTAGCCTAAGTTAATGGCGTTGAGTGTACACATTTTTAGGCACACACACACACACACACACACACACATTACGGAATTATCTCGAAATCTTCCATTAGAAAGAGACGAACTTCTTAGTATTTCCTGGATCCACAGTGTGTGGTCTATAGTGTAGCAGAGAGGAAAACTCTGGAAAGGAAACTCGAGACTTCTGAGCCGGGTGTAGGGAGCCTCCTTGCTGTCGTACGTCAACACTAACCTTCACCGTTCGTGTTTCTCTATTTGCCCAGCCAAATCTGGTAGAGGCCTGCTAGTGCAGCTTTAGATGTATGTTCCAGTATAGAATTTGTTTCTAAAGATGCACTGCAATTCTGACAAAAAACAGACTAACGCTAGTATACGTCTCGCTACTACTTGGACTGCGTTAGCCAGTTTTCTTTAATTCGTGTACTAAATCTTCCTAATTAATTTCTTATATAATATTCATGAAACATATAATGGAATTGTTCAAATTGTTTAGATGTCTTTCCCTTTTTGGACCGCGTCGTGTACTTGTGTCTCGGTGACGTCGTGTATGCGGGGCCAACCCGCAACCTGCTGGATTACTTCGGGAGCATCGGATTCCCTTGTCCACAACTTGAGAACCCGTTAATGTACTACTGTAAGTATTAATATGTAATTTATGACGTACTATCATGATAAGACAACTATTATAAAACGTTGGTAATCGTGCATATACGCATAATATTGATTGGCAAAAGGCATTGACTATCACTATAAAAGTTACTTATATTAGCCTATATATTATTCTGATACATAAACTATATTACTGTAAAGTTTCATCGAAATCCGTTCAGTAGTTTTTACGTGCTAGAGTAACAAACATCTATACTCAAAAACTTTCGCGTTTATAATTTTATTAAGATTAAGAATAATATTGGCATACAGGGTGACTTTGCACAAAACAATCTGGTACGTACAAAGTACAAAGAATTCTGGGAATGCCTATATATGTAGAATAGATACTAGATACATTCTTAGCCATTACATTTTAATTTCACCCCTTCTTTCCAGTATGTCTATCGACAGTGGATAGACGATCCCGAGAGCGCTTCATAGAATCCAACCATCAGATCGCGGCGTTAGTTGAAAAATTCAAGCTGGAAGGACAAGGTCTAATGCAAGGCAACCTGAATGAGCATAGTCGTATAATTAATCCAAACAAGATTCAGTTGAATTACGGCAAGCCAAGCGGCTTCAAAGTCATTTGGATGTTGTATGTGTGAGTATTTTTATACCTACCTATAAAAATGAAAGCCACATGAGTTTCACACCAGAATCAATTCAGATATTATTATTTCATAATAATTACTATCGTTGTTATTTCAGGAGAATGCTCGTATCAATATTCAATTTAAAGAAGCACGGTATAAAACAAATGTGTATGAGATTATTTTGTCTACCTATATATTTTTTAATACTGTGGCTCTTCTACAACGAGGCTAAGGTAACTAATCATCCGGCTCAAAGGATCATTTTATTTGCTAGTGTTTTTACATTTATTCTGTTTTCTTGTGCTATTTGCAGGACTATCAAAGAACTTTTATAACTAAGAGTGGACTTATATTTAACGCTATGGTAGGCACCTACTTCATCAGTATAATGAATACTATTTGTCTATGTGAGTATAATAAAGGAGTCTCCATTTTTTTTTATTTGTAAATGACGGAATCTAGATCTTTTAGTTTGATATTGAATTCTAGAAATCTAGAGCCTTCTGATTGTTTCTTATATTAATCATGCTATATATTAGCAAATTATAAATTACAAGATTTATGTCTGACCAGTACCTAAAGCAATTTTTTATTCGGTTTTGTTTCTGTATATCTTATCATCAGACGAACGGTCAGCTTATCTTATTAACCGAACCGAAATCAGCTCGTTAACCATATTAATTATATAAAATAAATAATAAAAACCGATATGGAAATACATTACATAATCAAGATAGCGCCCTAGTCTCCTGCATAAGCCGCTGTCCTAATCAGAGTGCGGTGTAATAGACATGTCAGCACTAATTATTCATGTAACATTTCCAGTTGGTCCATATAGAACAAGATACTACCAAGAAACGCAAGAAGGACTGTACAGTGGCGCCAGTTTACTGCTCTCCTGGAATTTGGTATCTTTACCATTCTCCTTCATCAGTACATTTGCCTCAGTCGCTATAGTTTATTCGTAAGTGAACATGTTATATGCCCTTACTACATTATAAGATGACCTCTACGTTAAGTATGATAAAATTCAGAAATAGATTGATTAATTCTAGTTCTAGTTCCGTGATTTATTCTAATGAACAGATCTGAAAACATCATCAAAATACCACTATTAAAACGATTAAATTTTTTTTTCTTTTCAAATATAAAACAAATAACGGCGTGCTGTCATTCAGTTGTATGATTACGCATAAGTAAACATTACGTTATTGGTTGGTTTAAATTGTTTTAAACGTGGTTTTAGAAATGAACGCACAAAGTAAAGTAACTTGCAGAAGTTTTTACAAGTTTTGTACCTACTGTTTGCAGATCTCTTAAAAAGTATTTAAACAATACCTATTTATGATTTTTTAGGATAATCGGAGATATGTCTGAAACATTGGACTATGTGTACTTCTCACTCGTGTTATGGTCGTGCTACGTTTACACAGAGCAGCAGACCATTGCCATCATGATGTTCGTGAAGAACGGTCTAATCGCGGCCATTGTTAATATTTATATTACTTGTATTTATGTTATGCTAGCTAGCGGCATCTTGAGGTGAGTTGTTTCATATTTTTTTTTTTTTTTTAATAAATTAATACTTTTTCGACTGTTATACCTAACGTAGGTATATGGTAGTTTGAAAACTTTTAGAAGACAGTATATAGTCATATTGTCTGCCTTCATGTAATATAAGCGTATTAGCTATATTTTTGTTTATCTGTTGCCCAGTCTGTGAGAAGTTCGGACATAACTTCCCTCACAAAAACGTAACACTTGGCATGCATGTAAAGGGGCACGCTACTTGCATTATGTCCGTTAGATATAAACTCATGACCTTCATTGTGAAGTCGGATAAAACAGTAGGCCACGACACTCGAGAAAATAATTATATAGATTATTTATCAATCAATTTTGTACTATTTTGTCATGAGTATTTTTATATCACTGGCGACTGCAGATTTCGCAACTAGCTGTGTTTCGATTGCAGAACCTCGTAAGTCAGTCGATATAGCTGTGACTAACAACAACAGATAAGGGAATCTTCAGCAAATTATTGTGATAAGTCATAATTTCTGAAGATTCAGTTAAATAATTATTAGTAATCATATGGCCAATTCTCCACTAGTGAAGTTTATGATAATAAAAACTGAAATAAATATTACTGCAAACACAAGCATGTCTGTCTGTATTTATCATTATAAAATCATTAATTCATTTAAAATTCATTCCAGATCATATAAAGGCTTTGAAGAGTGGCTGTATTATATAACATATATAACACATACACGGTACGCGTCGATATTCCTGCACCAAAATGTGTTCAGACAACCCATCTTCAACAACCTGCCATACACGGACAACGAGAACTGCACGTCTATAACCAGTCTTATACAAACATCATCGAGTCTAAATACAAATTCGAACTCGAATTGCAGATATGTGAATGGCAAAGGATTCCTGGCTGAAAGATTCACATCGAAAAATTTCGTCGGTGATATTTACACTTCTGGAGATTTCAACTTAGAGTTCAATTTGGGAATCTCGTTTGCCTTTTCAGTTGGTCTCATGGTTTTCAATAAGTTTTTATATCTCATGCCACTGCCCAGTTATATCACAGATAAATTTAGAGAGTGAAAATAGAAGTAAATTGATATTATTGATTAGATGTAACAAATGTAACAAACGTAAAATATTATTTAGAAATTAATCGTATTTTATTCAAATATAAAATAAAGATTATTACTTATTAAAAAGCTGTTTTTATGTAAAATGTCATTGGAAAAATATTATTACATTAAATACTTTTTCTAATAACTAAAACAGGGCGTTTTAATACATTTAAGTATTAAAACACTTATTTATTTAAGACTAAGTACTCGCTGCGTTTAAGAAAATATTTAGAAATGTGACGTTACAAAACTAACAGCGACACCCAAACCCTTGACACAATGTCACAGTTAGTCAACCATACTCCGTTTAATGTGCGCCGTAAGTATCTGAGGACTATTAAAATAATAAAATCTTTTTTCTTAAAAACGACTTTATTATACATTAGTGAAATTGACACAATTCAGCATCAAATATAGTTGGGCACAGCCTCACATTTATCGGGTCACCAGCAGTCACTATTTTTTTCATAAAGTTTGTATTGATTAGCATGCTTTTTGAATCAACACTTTTGTAACGAACGATGTTTGACTGCTGTTTTTGCATAAGCCAAATATTACAGCAATACATACAGCCAAATCTATATATATAATCTGTTACAATTTTATAAAGTCGCTTAGGGCTTTTGGGTAGGTATATATTACTGTAGTTTCCGTTTGTGATTCATTTTCATTCTCCGTTCCAACACATGGCGTACCATCCTCTGCAATGAAAAATTATACTACTCTTATTTATACTCTGTGCGCTGTAGCATGGTGCGGGTGACAGTTACTAATTGTACATTTAACAATTGGTATATTTAAGTTAATAAAGTTATTAATGATTTAATATATTCCTAATGTGCTACAGCTGAAGTACTATGTCATAATTTGTAAATCACGGCAACTTTTAAGAGTGAAACGTTTTCAGTTTTCATTACCGAAAAAGTTAATGAAACTGTCACTGTCATGGTATAGCTACTATGAGTTTTTTTAATGCATTAATCTAAATTTGTAGGACCAGTGACGTGATATTCATCAGTGTTGAATTTTTTTCAACACCGATGAATATCATTGAAAAATGTAGAGTTTATAGTGGTAATAACGTCCCGTGTGATAGATCCCCCGTCCAATTCAAACGGAGATCGAAATTTGAGCCGAGGTTCGAACCCCTAGCTCCCCTAGAACCCTTCAGATTAATTTCATATCCGTCGTTACTTCCGATAGTCGCGGGTTCGATTCCTCGCATAGTACCGACATTTGTACGAATAAGTATGATTGTTTGCATCAGTGTTTTCTATATATTAATATAGTTTTCTATATATTTCTAGATATATTTTTGTATATATTAACACATACTTAATAGTATGTGTTAATATATACAAAAATATATCTGAGTATTTATATCAGTTGTCTAGTACCCATAACACAAGCTCTGCTTACCGTGCGACTAGATGGCGCTGTGTTAAATTTCGAGACAAAAAAACAAATTCTGTTAAGTTTGGGACTAGATCGCCTTGTATGTGTTGGGTATTATTGTTTATGATTTAAAAAAGTCTTACCTCCATAAACAACAATTGTTTTATTCAGCTTATTGATTGTGACCTGAGGGAAGAACACAATTCTGTAAATACAAAACTAATTCTTACTAATATTATAAAGCATATTTACTCATCTATATATATAAAATTCTCGTGTCACAGTGTTTTATTCTTGTGTCATATTGTGTTGCCATACTTCTCCGAAATGGGTTAACCAATTTTGATGAATTCTTAGATATATACTCAATAGATCTGAGAATAGGTTATCTATTTTTTGTACCCCTACGTCATAAGGGTGGATCACACCAAAAAAAAATTTTACATAGTATAAGGGACAAATGATTTTGCGGCCCACCTGATGGTAAGTGATTACTACCAAGCCACATTATTACACACACCACAAATTAGGCCACAAGCACTCACAACACCAGAGAAATTGCAAGTGCATTGCTGACTTTCTAAAAGGGAATAAACTCCTTTCTTGAAGATTTCAATATAGTATTGATACAGAAGTATCATCAGTGGAAGGTGATTCCACAATGTGATTTGTGAGTAAAAAAAATGTTTCCGCAATACGCATGGTGGAGGACCACCATACATCTAGATGATCAGGATGGTATTTTTAATCCTATCCGCTTGTTTATTATTCCTTTATTTTTTTTAATGTGTGGAAAATGGACACTATTACATCAACTCTATAGGCAGTATTTCTCACTAAAATCATTTAGTATACCTAAAATTACAATCCTGGTAAAACCATGGTATCATATTATATAGCATTCAATCATAAATCAGATGACTATGTTCATAAGAAAAAAAATGTACGAACTTACTGGCGAAAGTGCTGTTTCTCTAAATTTCTTCAAATACAATTTTAAAGGTTCAACATAATTGTCAAAGCCTAGTGTGTTCAGTGCAAACAAGACATCTTCACCGTTGATTGTCTTACGCTTCTCCACCTGACACCTGTCACTGGCCTCACTCGTTACAAATGATATGAATTCTGATATACACTCTTGTACACATTCTCTTGCATCTTTGGCTATCTGTAAATACATTCCAATGTTATAATAATCCATATATAATTAGAGATTAACATGTTATTTTCATAAGCATAATACTAGTGCTGAAAATAATATCTTCAAACAATCTACAAATACACCTTGGTTTGCAACAACATCTGAGGTTCATGAGTATCTCAATACAAACACAGTAGGTAAAGAAATAAAACACTGCTCCTCCAAATACAAGACACGACTAGTAAATCATCCTAATGTGCTGGCCAACCAACTGATAGGCCCCGACAACATACATCACCTTAAAAGGCTTAGGTTACTGGATCCCGATGACTAATCAGGACCATCTAAAGAGACTATGAGAATCACACATCTTGCAATGCAACATTTAGCACATCTATTCATAGACTTCGACTGATTGTATGATGAACACAGAGAAAAACATGTAATTTATATTAATATATAAATGTCAATAGATTTGTTTTTTTATAAGAATAAAAACCAAATCTATAGACATGACACTTATCCCTTATTGCCTTAACAACTCAATGAATGATCACAATTGACATTTTTAGGCATACATGAGTAAAAACTCAAGGCACTCAAACACTTAATACCTAATAAGCAGTTACCATGTAGGATGTAATGAATATATAAACATACGCCCCCAGTGCTCGCTGCCTTTAGTTACTCAATAGTAATAGATAGGGTACATGAAATATCTGATATTTACCTTGCCATTGTGTGGTATAGCTCTCTTCATGATTTTAGCAATGTTAGCAATAGGTAAGAATCTATCTTGCTCCCGGAGCGGTTTACCTCCACTATTTGAGTCAGAGTTGTTTTCTTCCTCTGAAAAAAAAAAATTATGCAGAGATATGTATACAATAGTCTATTTTTTAATTCCGGAGACTAAATTGGCAAATAATGTTAAAATTTACAAATAATGTTAGCAGGGTAGTGGTGTACCTGTGATATCAATTTGTTTGATCAGAAACTTTTATTTTAACATATTGGTTTTAAAGCATTAAATGTCATTTCCACAATATTTTTTTATACATTACATATACATACATTTACTAGTGTGTCCATATGTATGTGATAATGCATTTTAAATAAACACCCACATAAAATTTCTGAATTACCTATAAAAATGGGTAATTAATATTAATTTCTGACAGTCCTTCCAATTTGTTTAAGAAATGCAAAAACCTGGCAACATCAGTAGTGTCAAATTTGTCTCCAGGATTAAAAAACAGAATATATGTACTATGTTTACTATGTATACATAGTAATATTATGGAGTATGGAGGCATGACACTTGTTACCCCAGGATGTCATTGTATATATATATATATAATAGAATATGGGACTATTGTGGGTTATTTTGTGTATATAGATGGAACTAATAATTACCTAGTACATCGTCAGAATGAACCACGTAAGTGTCTTCGTCCACAAGAAATCCATTGTCTAATCTGACTAATTCTGCACCAATTTCATCGTTTTCCATGTTTTAGAGCATACACTAATATAGGTGATACAATAAGTGGTATTTTTATTAAAAATGAATACACTTGGGTTCTGAGTATTTGATATCAAATTTCAATCAAATGATCAAAACAGAATTATACAAGAAAATTATCACAAATTGTTTATTTGGAATAATATTATTTTACGAAATAGTTCAATAACCAATTTAAGAATTAAACTTAACAATGTACACAAAAATTGTAATCGGAAAACAAATATATGTTACTATATTGAATTCATTAATCATTTAGTGACCAAGAAACTTATCAGTATGTTTGTAGATTTCACAATTTTCTTATTAACTAAATATTAAATGAAATATATTGTGGCTTTTTTGCCATAACATACACCTAAGAACTGACAATTTGACAATAGATTAAATGACAGCTGAATGACATCAGTTTATCATTTATGTTACAGAGTATGTTATTTAAAGTATTGTAAATGGACTCTGGCAAATGCTTTTAAAATAATCATTGTCATTGCCAGGTATAAGAAAGAGACACAGAGTTTAAAGGATTATGTCTCTTTCAAAATTACAGTATTTTAAAATTTATAAACTTCCAGGGCCATGAAAAATAAATAATAAAAAGTAATTTTTAATCAAATTTTCAATGATGTTTTTCATTAATATCACAAGATATTTTCATTTTCATTTTTGATTATACCGCACATTTTCGGAACTATGACAGCAGACTGAACTATGATAATAATAGTAATCAAATAATGCAAAAGTTTTAGTTAGCCATCGAGGTTATATGAGATTTGAGGTCAACAAACATATGTAGTGATCCAATATACTACTTATAATTTTCAAATTATCAATACATAATGGGTGTTCCGAAGTTCTTTAGATATACCAGTGAGAGGTACCCCTGTCTTAATGAATTGGTGAAGCAATATCAGGTAAATAATAGAAATGCATTGGTATATTTCAAATTGTTAAATGCCTTCAATTTTCACGTTTTTAAGTATCCGCATGCAGATAAAATGAAATGTTAGGGAAAGTTGTCTAAATATCCATTTTTTTTTAAACAGATACCTGATTTTGACAATATGTATCTGGACATGAATGGAATTATTCACAACTGCTCCCATCCTGATGACTCCAATCCACACTTTCGTATCACTGAAGAGAAGATATTTAAGGACATATTTCATTACCTTGGAACTCTGTTCCAAATCATCAAGCCAAAGAAACTGTTCTTTATGGCTATTGATGGAGTGGCTCCCAGAGCAAAAATGAACCAACAGAGAGGTAGAAGGTATGTTATACAATCTTTAATATATATATATAAACTTTTTATTTAGGTTCATTCCGTTTTCCCAATCTCCATCTGATGGATTCAGTATATCGAAGAAGGAGAGTTCTTTATATTTTAAGTTCAATAATATATTTTAATCAATAAAGTATATAATAAATGGATTTTAGTATAACTTATGAATAGAACTAGGTATAACTACCTCATAAACTGCCAACAAGGATGTGTATTACTTTGTTTTTTTTTTTATTGTCGCAATCAATTCTTGACCTGAAAGTAGATTTTTTAATATGTGAACAATATAATATAACACCATGTCCACCTCTTGGGTAGGATCGTCTCGTTAACATTACTCTGAAATATTACAGTATAATATGTTTAAATTTTATAATACAAAAACAATGATAATATAAAGAATAATGTAATGTAAGAGGGATGGCAGAAGATGGACGAGGTTTACCTGAGCTGCCCACACAACTAGAAACATAATTAAACCAAAAATATTATAATTATATGTTATAAATATGTACTATGTGGAAGAATAAAGCTATAATAATAAGAATAAGTTATTTAATGTAAATTAAAAGTGTACATTTTTTGTTTTATCATACAACTGTGTGTTATTCACAGATTGTATTTAGAAAAGTGATTATACTGAAGTACTTAATTTCATCCTACAGATTTAGGTCTGCTCGTGAGGCAGAAAAATTAGAAGAGGAAGCCATTGCTAAAGGTATGTCATGTTTGTCTGCTATTTAGTGTTTTGTTTAAGTGGAATACTATTACAAACTTGTATGAATTGATCATACTCACACATATGAACTATTCATACATATCCATAAGATGGGATTGTGTATTTGATATTTAACTATTCAAAGTTACATAGATTTTTTTTAACTTTATATGGTATATCTTCTTTTGGTTGAACTATTCACTCATTCATTATCCATTGAATGTGAAATGTGTATTAATGTTCATTCATATTTTAAGGTGAGGTCTTGCCAAAGGAAAAACGGTTTGATAGCAACTGCATTACACCAGGAACAGTATTTATGGCCCGTTTACATGAGCAACTGAAATACTTTGTTAAACTTAAGATGTCTACAGATCCCCTCTGGTCTAAAGTAAAAGTTATTCTCTCTGGACATGAGGTGAGTATTTGTTTATAAAATGTTTTTAACCTATAGTTTATCTTTATGTAAATTATAATATACTACCTGGCCCACATCATTCTTGCCCGTAAAAGTACACCATAAGGTTCAACTGTATTTCACAAATCATTCAGGCACCCAATAAAAAATACACAGAAAATTTCATTCAAAATGGTGCAGCCATTTAACAGAAGTTAGGTGACTAACACACAGACAGCAAAATTGTGTATTATATTGAGATATTTATATAGACGTCTGGTAGTAGCCATATGGGAGGTCCATATGGCTACTTCCAGAAGATTTTGTGGAACAAAATAGTATTTTATTCAAAAAAAAAATAGCACATGGAATATACATTTTTCATATTTATATGTATCATAGTATATATACATGTCAAAAGTAATCATCAAAATCTACAAAATTCTGTTAGAGTTAAATAAGGTACATATTTCAGACACCAGGAGAGGGTGAACATAAAATCATGGACTACATACGGTGGGCGCGCTCGCAACCTGATTACGACCCTAACACTCGGCATTGTCTATATGGACTGGACGCCGATCTCATCATGTTGGGCATGTGTACCCATGAGCCACACTTTGCTCTGTTGAGAGAAGAGGTAAGTCTATATTAAGGTTTGAGCTAATAAACCTAGACGTCTAGATTCCTTTCTAACTACCATAGTAGGCAACTAAATTCGTAACATTTTGGTATTTTCTATACATGAAGCTTCATATTCAAACACTTCAGTGTTCATTTGTTTAAATATGTGCATCTATGGAACTACCAATTAAATTTAGAAAGCCTTTGCATTAGATAGCTCAATTATGCAAGAAATTTATCAGTTATAAGACTATAAGAAATACTAAGCTAAAAAGGCACAAGCGCATCCAAGACTAGGGGATAGGGGAATATATATACATAGGGGAATGAGGTCTAATTTTAAATTAAGCCAGGAATAGGAGGTCGAAACCATGGAGAAAACCAGTTTTAATATAAGGAATGAAGTACAATTGTGTTTCAATCATGTAATTCTAGTGTATACATCGTAAGGAATCAGTTCACTGATTACAAGTGTACTCATAACTAACTGAGACTGTTATATTTATTGAAAATCATTCAATAAATATAACAGTCTAACAAAAATGTTTTTGCTTTGTTTTATATCACTGAAATCATGTGTTACATTTACTATTCTGTTGTCAAATTTGAATTGCTGAAAATATTGGTCCACGCCTTGTGCTTACGTATCAAGAAATCCTCCAAACATTAATTTTTATTTAGAAATCTTACAATTTAAGATCTTGAGTGTTACTGCTTCCCAGCTGCTTTGATTGTTGTGTTTAATATATTAGCACAAAACAAAGATTTTGATATTCATGAGCAGTCTCTTTATAATAAAATTAAAAATAATTACTAAATATATGTATCAGTCGGCTAGAGTCCATAGTATATTTGTTGTTCATTTACTCTAGATAATTACAAAATTTAAGGTGAGCAACATCAAATTAAAAGGTCAAATGTCGAATTTATGTTTTTATAACATTACTATACATTTGTATAGTATTGTTTACATATTTGTCAGCAATTAACAATAGATGCTGTAGTATAAAGTAATTGGGTTTGTTTTATACTACTATCCTGGCAAACAAGCACACTGCTCATCTTCTGTCTGATGGTAAACAGTTACCGTAGCCTATGGACGCCTGAAATATCGGGTGTCACGTACGCATTACCGACCCTTAAGAAACCTTAATATACCCTTCTTGAACGACCTCGGCAGGTAGTTCATTTTACAATTTAACGGTGTACAGTGTACGCGGGCGGAAGCTCCTCTGAAACCGCACTGTCCGAGATCACGTAGGTTCTAGTGTGTGGGGATGAATTCCCTGCCGATAGCGAGCGGTGCGATGGTAAAAGGTAGCCGCAGGCATGTTGTCGAAGAATTCTTTACTTATATATTACAAGATCTAATCAAATTTTACTCTTTTCCTTTAACTAACTACCTGTGTACGTGTATTATACATATACACCTTCCTATGGAATCACTCTATTTAATAACAACTGTTTAAATCTGTTGCGCAATTTAAAAGATGTAAGCAAACAGACAGCGGAAACATCTTCATTTTATATTATGAAAAGATTAAAACACGATGAACTTGGACTGATCTTATAAAAACGGCCACACAGCAGTCTATTGTACAAAGTTCTCGTACAGGCAAAAACCGAACCAGATGGAGATAAGTCTGCCGACCCTTAGTTTGTGTTCGTGGTTACGCTATGCTTTTTTTTCTTTGCTCGAGCTTTGAAGTGGATGGGCAGGGTATGGCCGTTGGGGCTTGCAATATAGCTCGTACTGGTTGGGGCGAACCACTCCAGCGTCGTCGTGGAAAAAAACAAATTACAAAGACATCTCATTTTATATTATCGCCAAGGAGGACAATAAAAACGGCCACACAAGAGATGCCATGATGAAAGCCACGATCACAAGATCACATTGTCAAGAGTGTACAACTAAAGAAGAAAGATGAAAATAATATCATATTGTCATTCATTTTAGGTTAAATTTGGGAAGACCACACAGCGAGCTACTTCGCCTGAAGAAACGAACTTCTACCTTCTCCATCTGTCACTACTTAGGGAATATCTAGAACAAGAGTTCATATCAATTAAGAACAACCTGCCTTTCGAGTATGATATAGAGAAAATAGTTGATGACTGGGTACTTATGGGATTTTTAGTGGGCAATGACTTTATACCACATTTGCCTCACATGCATATTAGTAATGATGCTCTGCCACTCTTATATAAGACATATATGACTGTATTGCCGACTTTAGATGGTAAGTATTACCAATATCAATATCTATTTATAACACCTGCTGGTCCCGCGATTTCATCCGCGTGGAATGTGCCCTTTCCTATACATATTAAAGTAGCCTAACTTACTCTTTAAAACATGAGCTATCTGCAAATGAAAGTCTCGTTATAATGGGTCCAGACGTTTCAGAGATTAGCAAGAACAAACAGAGAGACAAATAATATTACATTAAGCGTTATGGCGTAGTGGTTTACTACCACAGCGTATACCTGGTATATTAGGTCATGAGTTCAAGTCTTGCTGGCACCAAAATACTTTGTGTGTCAATTTATTTATACATATATAGCTACCCGCCCTGGCTTTTCACGGATGTACTATACCTTTAAACCTTCCTCTTGAATCACTCTATCTATTGCTAACTTCATTAAAATCGGCTGCATAGTTTAAAAGGTTTAATCGAATAGCCGGCGGAAGTGATTTAATTTTTATATTATGTAAAGATAATAATAGGTTAATTCAAAATTATTAATATTACTTATTCTATATTTCAGGCTACATCAATGAAGCGGGTGATCTAAACTTGAAAAGATTCGAGATATTCATGCAAGAGTTAGCCAAAATCGACAAGGAGAAATTTCAGGATGTATATACAGATATCAAATATTTTGAGGGTAAAACCGGCAGGAGGCCCAATGCTATGGAGCGACGGGAGGTAGGAATTTTAATAATTCTTGTAGAAATCTCTGTGGTGTATTATATACCTACCATCTTAGCATGACACTAAAAACGATGGGAATCACTAAACTAAGATGTCAGCTTGTTTGGCAGTTAGATAATAAATATTTTTTTTAAATATTCTTTTCTTTTTAAGTACTTCGAAGTACTCGGTGTATTTTGTTACTATATATACTATAGACCTAATAAATCATAATAATTAATATTATTTTTAACCGTATTGAAAACAATGTCATATGCCCGGAAGAGTTAACTTTTGGCGTCGCTCGCAATTTATTTTGCCAACTCCAAATTAGAAGATGTGATTCAATGTATTTTTTTTTTGTTTCAGTATAAACCTAATAATGACGAAACATTCAATGTGAATATTGAAGATATAAAATCAAAGCCTGATGATGAATTACAAGCACTTATCAATGCTACGGAGGATATGGTAAGTGGTTTATAGCCCAAAGGTCGTCGGTTTAAATCTGACTAACTGAAATTTTTGTCTAATTTAAAATTTTTGACTTAAGTTTTTAAAAAGAGAAATTAATTTCATTGCATTAATGTAGAGTATATATAGATAACCTTGACTGAAAATATTGGTTAATAATATATTGTTTCAACTGTTTTAATAATAGAAAAGTAATAAAAAAAAACTATAGTATCGCGGCACGAGGTCGCGAGCTCAGTCTAAAATAGAAATATGTATACAGTTAAACATGTTTTTAGATTTCGTTGATCTAAAAACATGTCTATACAACTGTTTGCATATTTTTTCTCTATATTATTCAGAAATCAAATCGCTTCAGACTATCTCAACGCAGGATTTATTTTTACTTCAGTGTTTTTGAACATGATTTCTATTTGGTGAGGTTACTAAATAAGATTTTGTTGAACTTGATAAATTTATCTAAATAAATAAATAACTCTGGACAATTAACACAGCGCCATCTAGGCCGATCGTAAGCAGAGCTTATGTTATGGGTACTAGACAACTAGTAGTAAATACTTACATACTTTTTTTTTGTAAATATATAAATAATATAAGTACATAGAAACCATCCAGACCGATACAATCAATCATACTCATTAATACAAATGTTTGCACGGTGCGAGAAATCGAACCCGCGACCATCTAAAGTAAAGCTGAGTGCTAAACCACAGAGGCCGTCTAATTATTTTTAATTGTCGTAATTGAATTTAATTATGTACTCAATAATATAAATTGTTTATAACGCATATTATTTCTTCACAGTTCATGGACGATGGAGACGATGAGGAATATGAGGAGACAAGTGACGGTATGATTGAATATTATTCATTACTTATACATAATTGGCTGACCCTACAAACGTTGTTTTGCTATATTAACTAAAATCGCTATAAAAATAGGGGTTGATGACAAAAGGGTGAAAATTTGAGTTTGCATGTATTTTTAATGCCACATTATAAAAAAAAGAAATTTGTTCAAATAATATAAAGAAATGTTAGGGGTGCAACAACCCTTATCACTTAGTGATGTTAAAAATAGATAGTACCCGATTCTCAGACCTACAGATTATATAATTCATCATCATATATAATTTTATAAAAATCGGTCAAGCCATTTCGGAGAAGTATTTACCACGCAAGAATTTTATATATAAGATAATGGATTCGTTTTCAACAAAATAACACAGTAGTAAATTTACTCACCAAATTGTAAATATTTACAGAGGAAGCGAATATGGAAATTGAATTCAGATTACACAAAAGGGATTATTATATGAACAAATTGGATTACTCCAAAGTTACTGAGTAAGTTGACTGTTGTCCCTACTAATATTATAAATGCGAAAGTAACTCTGTCTGTCTAGCTTTCACGCAAAAACTACGAAACCGATTCAAATGAAATTTAGTGTACAGATAGTCTAGATCGTGAGAAAGGACATAGGCTACTTTTTAAGACGAAAAAAGGGTTGTAAGGGGTTGAAAGGGGAGATGCAAAGTTATATGGAAATATCTTCATTTTTAAAGGTAGAAAGCTTGAAATTTATTTTTTAGATTTCTGACTAAATGTAAATAAATATTCTATTCAGAAATTTGTATACATTTCACACTTAAGGGGTAAAATCAAATAGGGGATGAAATGGAAATTCCTCATTCGTCGTCTATTCCGTGCGGACGAAGTCGTGAGCTCAGCTAGTAAGACATAATCTTGAAAACTTGCCGTCACGAGGTTTATCCCGGATAGCCAGAGGCATTGTGCATTGCATTAGGTGAACCGAATATTTGCCAGAAATTCACTACATAACTATTAGCTATATTTGAATGTTGTACATGTATAATTTGATGTATTTTAATTACACGTGGCATGACGAACCTACCTTTGTCTCACGTATTGATTATATTTATCAAAGTTTCTTTTATCGCAGTATAGTCTAGATAGAATATAAAATAACGCAAAAATCTATAGCTATACTTGAATTCACGATATTTTGGATATAAGTATTGGCTACTATATGATGATGATCTTGACTATTACTACAGATAACATTATAATACAGATTACAAATAATAGATGCCTTAGTTATGTATTTTTGTAACCTGTTGTATGTTCTAACGTAATATATACAGTACTAAACTTTATCAACAATATATACAAGGTCATTCCCTATTTGTAATTCTAGTGTTAAGTATAATGCAAAAAAAAAATACAGCTATTATAATATACTTCCATTGATAATAATAATCGAATAATCGTAGTACAGGCCTAATCACATAACTCTATCTATTCCCAAACTTATCTGAGATTAATGGCTAAAAGTCGATTAATAGAAATACTTAAACGCATTTTTTTAATACATGCAAGCAAGCCGATGGCCTACCTGATGGTAAGTGGTAACCGTGGCTTATATACTTGAATCCACAGATATTATCTCAAATTAAGAACCTATACATATTTGATGTTGGTTCAAGACATAATCAAAATGTGTTTATTTCAGAGAGGTTTTAGCAGACCAAGCCGAGGGCTATGTTAGGGCCATTCAGTGGAATTTGTTTTACTATTACAAGGGTTGTCCATCTTGGTGCTGGTACTATCCACACCATTACGCGCCCTACATATCGGATATTAAAGGTTTTAAAGACTCGAAGATTGAATTTGAATTAGGAGAACCATTCAAACCATTTGAGCAGGTAATTTTTTTATTTATCTGGAATAAGAAACTGATGACAGAAAAATTATGTCATTCTATTTTAAGGGCAACTGTTTCGTCGCTTTATGCAAACGATACAATTTTGAACTGACTATAGACACAATTTTTTTTATTTGTTGACGTGCATGATCCATACATACATAGGAAACAGTCAAATTCAGTCTTATATTTTTTTTTTGTAACTGGTATAACAAACTGGCCCATCTGATCGTAAATGGGAACTGTCATCTATGTATATGAACGGCACTACAGACATCACGTCATCATATCACGGTCGTGATACCCTTCATATTGTCACTCCCAAGCACCATATACGTAATTCCATGCCTACATATACTGTAATTTCAGTTGCTGGCAGTGTTGCCATCGGCCAGCAAGCACTTGTTGCCGACGCCATTCCACGATCTGATGACGGACGAGGACTCTCCCATCGTGCACTACTATCCGATTAATTTCGAGACCGATCTTAACGGGAAGCGGAATGATTGGGAGGCCGTTGTACTTATACCGTTCATTGACGAGGTTTGTTACTTATTTTGTTACTTATATCCATGTATGCTTATAAATTTTGTCATTTATATTATTAGACCTCATTATTTGTTCTTTAGACAAGTTATAAAAAAAAAAGATTAATGAAAATGTAAATATTAAAAATATTTTATTTATTTTCGTAATACCGCATTTAAAGGCGTGATTTACAACAAAAAAATGGATAATTTGCCGATTGGTAATTTACCTATAATAATATATAATAAAGCTATTCATAATCATAGGTAAAATGCCAAAAAACAAATTGATTTGTCAAAATTTTTACACACACAGTGTTGTATCTCTGTCTATATTATTATTATTATCTATAAGAGAAAAATAATCGATTTTATATGTTTGTTTGTGATATACTTGAAGTACTAGAGCAATTTATAAAAAAATAAATAAAACTGTTGTAATATTGAAATCAAAACTAACTTTTCAATGTTTGATTACTTTAGACCAACTTACTGTCGGCCATGGGCCCCTGCTACCAACGATTGACCGACGAAGAGCTGAAACGGAACACGCATGGACCTATGCTCGTGTACAACTGGACATCGGAAAGTCTAGGTAAAGATCATTCACAACATAGGACTATATCCTAATAATAAACTAAACTAAAAATATTTGCAAACCTCGACTTGTTCGAAATTTCTAGATTGATTTTCCAAAACTTACTGCATTTTATTTTTGTAACAATGTTAATTATGTTCAAAATGATAACAAAACTATTATTTCTTTTATTATTTAGGCATAGCAGAAGCGCCTGAATATTTTCCGCCTGTGACGCCTAATCACGCGACCGAGAAACTCGTTTGGCGGCAAGAGCTCGTGGTACCCGAAGACCAGCTCCGGCATGGAATGCTGCCCAACGCTAAGAGGGATATGGTTTACCCAGGCTTCCCCACCATGAGGCACCTCAAGTATAAGGTATTTATGATTCTGACTTGCCGTTCACACACAACTTGACGTTAAAACACAAGCAGACTTTGTAATCGTCAAATTTCCTAACTAGTACTGTAGCTCTACTGTTTGGAACCAAATGGCCCTGTAGAATAGTTTAGAGTTGTTATTATTGACTATTTAAAAGAGATTTCTTATGTAATAAAATATTTTTCAGACGTCTCTTAAAAAATGCAAAGTCAAAGTGTTTGATCAACCGTCTCGCAACGAAAACATGATTATTGAGTTAACTCCAGACGAGCCTCTTGAAAAATCATTGGAAAAAGTGGCCGATGATTACTTAGGCAAAGTAATATGGGTTGGATGGCCACATCTTACGCGGGCAAAGTAAGTATTTTATCATATTTCTTTAATATATCTCGTTAAATTCAATATTGTAAAAAAAACATTCACAGAGGTATATTTTGTCCACTAACGTCTGGTTCACCAAGTCGCAAAGCAATACTACAGCTTCTACATAGTATAGTAATATATTAGTGTTATTAGTTATGATATGGTCGAGCCCTAGGCGGCGACGTGGTGGGACGGGTCATCGAGGTCCCTAAAATATAGTTGAGGGCAGTGATGGCTGGTTCACCTGTTATACTTGTGAACGGCTGCTGATTGTAGAGACCGGTATGCTCACATAACTAAATCTGATTTATTTTGTTAGTCAATTAACTATTTATATACTTATGTGAACTTCGTTATTTGGTAGTTTGTATTTATACAAAATTCTTAGAAATGTAAGTCACTAATTTTATTTAAAACTATATGAAATATACGCACACTATTGGGCGCGATAGAGTGATCACAAAAATAGTAAAATGCAATCAATCATGATTGAGTGAGCTGTCTTTCCCGCGCTAAATTTCACGCGCTCGCAAGATCATGTCATGTAAAGGCAGCTAATATATATATAAAATAATTAAATAATAGATAATAAACGATTTATTATTTTTACAGAGTAATAGCGGTATCTGATGAGTCCAAACGGTTGCATTATGTAGACAAACAAAACAACAACGTGGGCGCACCGAATTATACTACGGAGCGCAACCAGGGCAACCTTCGCTCTCAGTGGCTCTCAGAGCAGTCTACCATTGTCGAACAGTAAGTTTGTTTTATAAATGACAACCAATCCCGACAAACCGAACACATGGTCCATAGTGGTGGGTAAGTCAAATCCACACATGTGGCCCAGAAAAACAGTGATCGGGTAAAGTCTGTTTTCAAACCATCCAGGTACCCTCTTGATCTTAATTTAAGTTTAATTGTATACAATATTGGTTTGCTGCTATTTTATTGTGTAGGCGTGATCATAGTTGGGTAAAGTTTTCTTATGGGGTTCTCCTCAAAAGAAGAAAAAAAGGACTTACAATGAATGTTATAGGATTATTATTATGTTGGTTCATTAATTTGTATGAATAATCTATAATTCACAATTTTATTATTTTTAGTAATATGAATCGTCTGGGTATTGAATTGGGAGATGTGAAAATCATTCTACATGCGGTAAATCTCAAGGGTAAGTCTTAATTTATTAACTAAGTTCTATTGTTTTTATTTTCCTTTTTAAATTGTTGATGATGTATATTGACATCACAGGTTTTCTAGCTATTTAGCATTAGTTATTCCTTACAATGGTCGCGAGTTTTTTCACCTACAATACAAACATTTGTATTTGGTGGGTATGATTGTATTATTTAATGTTTATAAATTGTTATTGTTATATGTTAAATGTTTACTGTATATGCATACATTTATATATAAAAAAAACATATTTCTATTAGTTGTTCTGCATCCCTAAGATAAGCTCTGCTGAGTTTGAGTCTGTATGAATTTTGCCCGTATTTTTTTTTCTCACTAGTCTTCAAGTAAATAGTGTTATATTTCTACTGACGTAAAGAATATTGAAGGAACGGCGAGAGTACACTTAGAAACATATATAATGATTGATAACATGTATATAACGCAAGAGTGTATTTCAGGTTTCAAATACCTGATTCAAGACAACAGCCGGATGGTGTTAGAGCCGATGTGGTGTTCAGTAGCGTGCGGGTACGCACTACAGACTGGTGTGAGGTTGCCGGCTGAGTTGCAAGCCGCGCCCGTCCGGTACCGCACCCCGCAGGAGGCGTACCCGGCCGGCGACCACGTGTTCCTGCTCACCCCGGGACAGTACTACGGCTGCCTGGCCACGGTCGGTCTACACATGTTCTCTGTACACTATATAGATCGTGTTACATGTATACAATATGTTCTTATATGTATCTAGGTGACTAGGAAACACTGTTGTGCATAGTTTTAATTGTCTAAGTATTATACTTGTAACATTAGTTATCTACGAATGAAAGCCCCAGTCGTTTGTTGAAAATCGGATTAGTCAGCTATTTATGATTATCAAGAACGAATGAACATACCAAAAATTGCAAATTAATTTTTAAACGTTTAGATAACGCTTTATAAATTGTGTTGGGGAATTTTTATTATTTTGGATATATTATTGTTACGAAGGTGGTGGACTCCGAGTCGATCCGTAACGGGCGCATCAAGGTGCAGGTGGTGGAGCGCGCGGAGCCGGTGCCGCAGCTGCCGCCCGCCGCCGCCGCGCCCTACAAGACCACGCACCACGCCGCCGCCGCCTGCGGTGACTATCACCCTCCCTACCACCCGCGCGGGCCCTATACTCAAGTAGGACTGGTCACACGCGGCCCCCGGTCCCTATACTCAAGTAGGACTGGTCACACGCGGCCCCCGGTCCCTATACTCAAGTAGGACTGGTCACACGCGGCCCCCGGTCCCTATACTCAAGTAGGATTGGTCACACGCGGCCCCCGGTCCCTATACTCAAGTAGGATTGGTCACACGCGGCCCCCGGTCCCTATACTCAAGTAGGACTGGTCACACGCGGCCCCCGGTCCCTATACTCAAGTAGGTCTGGTCACACGCGGCCCCCGGTCCCTATACTCAAGTAGGATTGGTCACACGCGGCCCCCGGTCCCTATACTCAAGTAGGATTGGTCACACGCGGCCCCCGGTCCCTATACTCAAGTAGGATTGGTCACACGCGGCCCCCGGTCCCTATACTCAAGTAGGGCTGGTCACACGCGGCCCCCGGTCCCTATACTCAAGTAGGACTGGTCACACGCGGCCCCCGGTCCCTATACTCAAGTAGGACTGGTCACACGCGGCCCCCGGTCCCTATACTCAAGTAGGACTGGTCACACGCGGCCCCCGGTCCCTATACTCAAGTAGGACTGGTCACACGCGGCCCCCGGTCCCTATACTCAAGTAGGACTGGTCACACGCGGCCCCCGGTCCCTATACTCAAGTAGGACTGTCGCATGCGGCCTCCGCACCTATAGTAAAGTGCGACTGCTCGTATGCGACCCACGGCCACTACAGTGAAGTAGAATATGCGGCAACTATACTAGAGTAGAACTGGTCGCATGCCGCTACTATATTAGAATAGAAAAGGTCGCGTGGAGCCCCCGACTCCTATAGTGAAGTAAAACTACTCGCATGCGGCAACTATACTAGAGTAGAACTGGTCGCATGCCGTTACTATATTAGAATAGTAAAGGTCGCGTGGAGCCCCCGACTCCTATAGTGAAGTACAAATGCTCGCATGCAGCCACCGGCCACTGTAGTGAAGTAGAACTAGTCCTATGCGAGCTGTATAATGAAGTAGAACTGCGACTAGTTCTACTTCATTATACAACCCCTATAGTGAGATAGTAGCTTGGAATAGTATCGATGACGCCGTTGTTCTCTGGATTAGCGACGCAGGATTAGTATCACTGGTATCACAAGATGACGTGATAAATATATAGCTGAATTTGTCATTCTAATTATACTTAAATATGTTTGTTCGTATCGCAGGGCTATCGACACAAATGTTGTCAAGAATCACGGGCACCATACTCGTGGTGAATGGCGAGCGAAATGACCTGCCAACGGAAACTATGAACAAGATCAATATTGGACTCAATCTCAAGTTTAACAAGAAGGTAACAATCAATATTTGAATAATTAAAAAAAATATTAATGAAATATTTGAAGATTTAAACAATGTACACTACTTGTAATTTTACAATACCTACAGGTATTGTAAAATTACTAAAATTGCAAAAAGTTCGCACAAAATCTATATTCCTCTAAAAGGTGGGAGAGGTTCTAGATGACATGATTTTTACATGAATTTTCTGACTTCTCCAATATCCCTTTATTTATAGAATGTCACACTTTACTACCTTCCCCCTCTTCCACGTTCATTCATTCATAATTCAAGTCGGTGGAGCTCTTGCCACTTTCCAGGATCTTCCATAATGCTATTTGAATATTATTGCAACACAATTCCAATTTTGTCTTGTTATTTACTTGATGTTTGTTGTCTTTCAAGCACACATAATTTTATTGATCAATCTACTCATACAAGTTTATTAATTACAGATTTAATGTTGCATTTAACAAGGTTCTTCTTTAGCTTCTTAATATGCTTGAAGTAACTGTGCCTTGGTTTTTCCGTCCCCCTCTTTCCTTCTATTTTACCCACAATGATAATAATTTTAGTAAATTCATTGTGCCTTATCAAGTCCTAAGTGTAGCGTAATTTATGGACCTTGTTTTCCAATCCAGTTATATAAAAAATGCTTTCTAGAACCAAGAGGTGGCCGGCTACACGCGCCGTTGTAACGTGGCGAAGGCGTGGCTGTACTCGGATAAATGCATCGAACTGGTCAAGTCGTACGCGCAGAACTTCCCCGATCTGTTCAACCGGCTCGCAATATCTCAAAACCGCGACGTGTTCTTTGAAGGAGATCTCTGGCCAGGCGAAATTGGGTATAATTACTTTTTTATAAAAACTTTCTGCCATTAGCACTGTTTCTTTATACAGGCAGCAAGCAGTCAAGGAGCGTGATATAGTATTTGTTTGTATATTCTCTTAGAGACAGCATTTCACTAAAAAACACCATATCATAAAGTGTCTAACCATAGACCATAATCACAGGTCATATATTCCTAGATATTCTCTTGATTATGATAGACAATAAAACATCAATATAGACAATGATAATAATTATTATACGAATTCATTGTGCCTTATGACGTGGTCTGGTGTCCTGAGTAGTATGCTCACTAAATGTCCAGATATATGGCGGCGTGGTTTTCCAATCAGTTTTAAAAAATGGTCGAGCCAGTGATGGCTGGCTCATCCGTCATACTCGTGAACGGGTGCTGCTTGTAGGGACTGGTCTGCTCTAATCACTATGACTGATTTCCTCTTATTAATTGTTTAACCAGTTGGTTATGTATTCAATATCGTTTATTCTTTGAGTATTTCTGAATTAGTGCTAATCGGTGGTTTGATTCACTTTTTTAAACTTAAATTGTAAGTAAGAATAAATTATTTAAAAGAGCAACACACAAGATATAATATTTGCTTGTTATTCTCTGTGATGAGACAGCATTCACGAAAAAGCACCACATTAAAAAAAAACTATATGACTATTCAAAAGTGCATATATTCAATGTAAGTTTATTTGAATAAATGATTTTCTATTCTTTTCTATTCTTTTTTATACGACACATTTTTTCACGTCCGATTTAGCGCATTAAAGTCCGCGCATCTGTTTGTTTATTTTTTTATATTATAGGTTTTATTTTCAAAAAACACTTAAGATTTATTAATTATCAATAACTGTATAAATACGCTTGCATCGTAATTACATGTCCGCCATTTTGCATTGATAGTTAATTATTTAAAAATGGCGCTAAAGCACGCACGTTTGATGAACGTGTTAAGGCAGTTATTGATATAGTAACGTCTGCGGGTACAGCAAGAATAAAGGGCAAGAAGTGTCGGCGTGGTTGAAGCAGCAGCCGCACGCAGCGGCGCCGCGCCGCACGTGCGGCTCAGAGGTGCTGGAGCCCGCTGAGCTGCGAGCGCTGCACGACGCGCTGCAAGCGCAGCTGCAGCGGCTCAACGACGCCGACAAGCGCGTCACGCTGCACGTCAAGTGGTCGCTCCTCTACAAGGTACGTGACCATCCAGCCGCTGAATTGACGGTGGCTTTGGCGGACCGCTAATATTTAGTAGTTAAAAGAAATTGCGTAACAAAGGATATTTTGAAAAAAGTATATAATGTGTAATGTACTTATTTGATGAAATCTTTTAAAGATATATATAAAGAAGTAGTGAAACTAAAAAATAATAAATTACTAAGAAGTATTAGAGTAGATGGCAGTATATTTATTACATTCACTCCAAATGATATTGCTCAATGAAGTTTCTGATTAAGCTATTACCATATTTTTGTAATAAAATAGATTTTATTTGCAACTAATATTGCACATATACATAAAATAAAAGTAATATTTAACATCGATTTAAGTACTTCTGAGTCTTCATTTTTATTTACTGTAATTTCAAGTAACAAATAACCATATAGCGTGTTATCATAAAATACAAATAAAATGAAATCGGTCCTAACAAATACCTAATACGGATCGACACGTGTGTACCACTGGTTTACGAGTAGTGCGACTGGCCCTGCAGCCGGAGCTGCACGAGGGCAACATCCCGCCGGACCCGTCGGCGGACTTCCGCGTGCTGGACCGCGTGGTGTGCGCGGGGGGTGCGGGGGGCGCGGGCGGTGCGGGGGGCGCGGGTCCGGGGCGCGGCGCGCGCGGCACGGTGGTGGGCGCGCACCCGCCCGCCGACCACAACACCGTGCGGCTGTCCGACCGCCTCAACGACGTGCCCACCTACCTCATCATGTTCGACGAACCGTTCGCCGGCGGCATGACCGAGGAGCTCTTCGACGAGCCCAGGTTTTATAGGTGCGTATTCATACTATCCTACACATACGTTTAAAAGCAGCTAAAAAGTCCTACATGAAAAAATTGCTTTTTTTTGATTTGATTTGATTTTATATTACACAAACACACGACACCGTCCTCGCGCGCGAAGACGATGACCTCAAAAGTAGGGTTGGCAAATCTAAATTTATAAAACAAGGATTTGAAATAACCAGTTTAAATCTAAACATCTTACTAATATTAAAAACGCGAAAGTTTGTGAGTATGGAATATAGATGAACGTTTATTACTTTTTCACGCAAAAACTACTGAACGGATTTTGATGCTTATACATCAGAATAACACATAAGCTATAATTTAAAAAGATATGTAAATTGGGCAAAATATAATAATAAATGTCAAGTGAGTGGGATGCAGACGAGTTGCGCGGAACTGCTATAGGCATCGATGATCTAGCGGTTTAGCACACAACTTTAATTCCGATGATCGCGAGTTAGATCCTCGCACTGTACACAACTTATATTTATGAGTACAAATGTGTATATTGGTCTGGGTGTTTTCTAGATATATATATAATGTATATATTAACAAAGCAATGTATCCAAGTATATCTATCATTTGTCTAGTACCTATAGCACAAGCTCTGCTTAGCTTTGAACTAGATGACGCTATGTGACTTGTCCAAGTATAAAATTATTATTACTGGTGTTGTTATTTTTCTAATAATAATAATAATCTCAGGACAAATCACACAGCGCCATCTAGACCCAAGTTAATCTAGTTAAAGCTAGATGGGTACTAGATAACTCATAAAATACATAGATAATTTTTTTTTTCGTAAATACAATCATATTATACATAGAAAATACCGAGACTGATAGAAACAATCAAGAATATAAATGTTTGTGTCGTACGAAGAATCAAACCCGCGACCATCGGAAGTAAGACGGCGTGCGAAACCACTAGACAACCGAGGCCGTCTATTTTTATTATATAACTTTACAGAATGCGACCAACCAACTTGTTGAATATATCGTATGGTCGTAAACTGCGCGTCCCAAATGGCGCCAATGCGAAATACGAAGAGTTCAACTTCAATCGGACGCCGACCTTGCTGCGGAAGGAAGATGGACATCACTCCGCCTTTGCGAGCTATAGGTAACTTTTTATTTTTAATAACGTTACATAACCTTAGTCGTTTACTACCCCTATTTACAACGAAGGGTCGAGAGTTAGAATCTGGTTGGCACCATGTACATTGCATTTCAAATTATACTAATACACTCCAGTAATGGAAATACTGGTATCAAACCAAATTAATCCAAGAAACTGAAATACGTTCACTACATATTGTGAACATAAATTAAAATGACGATTGTGGCTAAATAACATTTATTATTACTATTAACATGTCTCTAACATATATTTCAACAATTATACTCATAATAATAACCCTGGACAATTCACAAAAAAACCATCTAGTCCCAAGCAAAGTAGAGCTTATATTATGGGCCCTAAGCGACTGAAACAAACAAAATACTTTTTAAGGTGCATAAATAATATACATAGAAAACACCCAGACCAATACAAACAATTATTAGCATCATACGAGGAATCGAACCTGCGACTGCCAGAGGTTATCCGGTCTCCTAAACCGCTAGTCGATATATTCTGTCAAAAGTTTTGAGTTGTACAGTGTTTTTGACTTGTTTCTTGATTAATATTTATTTAATGACTATACAAATGTCTGATATGTAATAATATTTTGTAATGCAGTCCGCCTGGCGATATCGCTCGTAATAGCACCCCGTCTGCAACAGCAAAAGTGGAAAATAGCCAATCGCAAGTAAGAATCACTACTTTTTATGTGTTATATTATCTTTCGCTTTCTTGCAATTTGTGGAAATGATTTTGTCAAACGTACCCTCTTTTATGTAATTAAACTACACCACCTGTAGAGGATGATAAGATTCTGCATTTAAGATACAGATCCGAGGGCACCTCTAGAAGTTCGGATGTCAGCTCAAAAAACCTTCGCGAAATTTTGGTGCATTTTAATGATTACTAGTTTAATCTGTTTAACAACGTGAACCATACATGTATTGATATTTAACTATAGTATTAGCAGCTCAAATTTATATATTTAGTTTAATTTATAAAACGTTATATGCAGGACGCTACGCATCTATTGAGAAGCTTGTTAAAAATCAGCGACAGTGGATCTGAAGTGAAGATAGATAAAAAGGTATTTATGCAATAAATATATTTATAGCTAGCGTAGGTACATTCAAAGAAAACGTTAAGTAAATTTACTTTTTTAAAACGATATTAAATTAATCAATAATGTTGGAATACCTCGTACGTACTATGAAAAGTCAGATATATTTCGAATACTGAATTCGAAATATTAAGACTTATTTTTATTGCTGTGCTGCACGAAAATTGACAAATAAGACAATATAATAAGAAAAGTATTGTAATTAAAATTAATCACAAAAGGTCTTTAGGACAATCAAACCTATTATGTTGTACCACGCCAAGTTATTTCAATATATCTATATACTATGTTTTCGTTTTTTGCGACAAATGTTTGGACTTATTCGGAAGTCTTCTTCAGTACATACATTATTTAACAAGTATTTTGTAAATAATTAAAAAATATTAATGTAATATGAACAAGTATTAAAAACAATATAATATCAATACAGACAGTTTTACTTTACATATTCGCATATATAAATGGCCCTATTTCTGTCACAGCCACAAAATATACCTGAGGATAACTGGCGGCAGAAAAATGAGAACAACATGCAAGTTCCCCCGCCACAGAGGTATGTTTTTACATGTATTATTTTTTTTAAACTCGTGGTAATCACTCTGTATAGTAAGTACCAAAGTCCTCATCAAGCACCCACACCCGCATTCATTATACGTCCTGTTAATTAAAAGTACTCACTATCCTACAAGTCCCTTAAACAAATTGTATGTGAATTATTAAATAAAATATTTAGGAAATTTATTCTAACTAGTGGGCATCCAGCATGCAGCAATTTGATTAAAGTAAATTTAAACTATAACTTTGAACATTATTAAGAGTCTATTGTCAAAGACTTGCTTTTCGTATTAACATATAGATTGCTTTGATAACATTTAAATCTTAACAGTGTCAAACGTTAACTGGTAATATTAATAGCAACATGCCCGCCTACTATTTAATATAAAAAACAGTAGGCGGGCCTACTGTACAAAATTATGTAAAGTTAAAATAAATAAATACCTAAACTAATTATTTATTGCATTGCTCTTAAATATGTAATTAATATAAATGTCATTTCAAGCGAACCAATTCATCCGTTTTGGAAACTATTTGCTGGGTAAGGGATTGTTTTATAATTATATATATTTAGAATTTTATCGTTTTCAACGTAATTTTGAATATGATAATACATAGTTATTGTACTGTTTCTTCATTGAAAGTAGTATTTAATTTAAATTGCTGTACTTCTAATACTATAATTTAATATTTCATTTGAAAGGATTTTGATGAAATTTATAGCAACATAGCTTTATAGCAGAATAACACATAAGCTATATATTATAAATATATTATGCTAATTGGGCGATATAATGATAAATGTCAAATAAGTGTGATGCAGACGAAGTTGCGCGGGTCAGCTAGTTTAATAATAAACTTTGTGATTATTAATTTTATTAGTAAATTGCATTATAATCGTAGTTTAATATTTAATCAGACATATTTGTAATTTTTGTGCTGTATACTTACTAGGGGACCGCAACAACAAAACTGGCGTAAAGAGAACAACGCAGCGCAGAATAGCAAGACGCCACAGCAGCACTATGGCAATGAATGGACCAATAGTAATTTCAAGGTAAACAATAATATTATATTTTTTATGTAACTGAAATGTCAAACAGACAGTTTCTGTAGTCTAACGGTTTAGCAAACCGCTTTACTTCCGATGGTCGCGAGTGTTTTCTAGCACGGTGCAAACATTTCTATTCATGAGTATGATTGTTTGTATCGATCTGAGGGTGATGTATATAGTGTATGCATTTTCAAAAAAATATATCTAAGAATTTATATAGTACCCATAAGACTAGCTGTCCTTACCCTAGGAGGTCACATAGGGTTGTATACTATAATTTATTCATACTATTTTTAATGGAATACTTCAAAATAGATATGTTACATGTATTTTATACGTTTTCAGATAATACATTATGTCAGATTATTCGGTCGTTCGGTAGTGAGATTTTTTTACAAATGATTCAACATACACAGGTATTGTGTTGTGTGTAATCGAATACAGCCATTAATTACACCTTGTCTCATTTGTGTGCCTCACGTTTGTATCATTATAGTATTTTACATTTATAAAATCAAATGGACCCATATTTTTTACCATTTTTTTATTATCGATAACGAATAAAACTTGAGAATATTCAATGAATATGGTATATATTTAAAAATAAAAGCGCACACAAAATCATTTCCATGTACCATGTTTTTTACACATACTGTGCCGACCCCAAATAATGGCATAAAGGCAAGGCACTGATGATAATACTATATTTTTAAAATTACTACCAATATTAAACAGAGCTTGAGGATATTAGACAAAAATGGACTATATTTTAAACGCATACAGTAATTGTTATTATAGAAGCATACTTAGGTATATAATAATATTTTTTTCTGTGATATCAATACCATTTATTTGATTTAATATGTGATATGAAAAATATTGCTTCCAGAATACCATTATTTCAGTTGATAATATTAAAGTACATATAATATTTTTTTTATAAATATGATTATGGCTAAATGATAATTAAAATTTCAGAACCAAATGCCCGTGCCGCCGTACCCGACATTTGGCCAACCATTCCACGGCCCCGGTCCCAATCAGATTCCGTTCCCCCAGTTCCTGAACCCTCACCAGCGGCACGGCTTCCATGGCACCCAGGACAACCAGCGTAACCAGAACCAGTTCAACAAGACCCATCAGAACCCACAAGGATTCCCTAAACATCTGCCTAGTGTTAGCAACGCGCATGCGTCATTGGTACCCAATTGGGCAGTTGGCCAGGTGTGTTTCATATCCTAATTCTTTTTAAATGGATGATAGGTTGGCATGAGGTCAGGTGAGTTAGCCTACCATAGCAAATTCGCCAGAATTTTATAACATTGGTTTTCAGGTCGAGCCTACTCTGGTGGGAAACCAGTGAAGGATGATGAGATGAGCATGAGGTCAAATCAGTTTGCCTATAGTGGCAAAATAACCACTAATTTTTCACGTTAGGGCTAGTATCTTAAAAGCAAGTGTGAGTATTTCTTACCTCCTTTATAAGCCGAACAGACATTAATTCGATTGAAAATATTTAGTTGTGTAAAAACATAACGGACATAGGCTATCTACTGTCTCAAAAAACCTCATGAAGCAGCTAATAACATATACATAGTATGTGTGTACATGTACTTTAATATTCAATATCTTTTAACTGTCAATGATGATTGAATAGCTGTATATTTTCCTCTAACAATAAACAAATAAATGTAACATATTAAATATGAGTTTGTTTTTTTCAGAATTCAACAGCGACAGGAAATCAACAGAAACCGAATAATAGTGCTAATACAGTGCACCATAATAGTGAGAGATTAAGCAATCCATTTGTACCGCTTCAAGTTCAAACGAGTCAGAGGTAAGTTTTTATTTCTTTGTCTTTTTTTACACACTAGCGGCCGCCCACGACTTCATCTGCATATGTATATATAAAAGGTAAACAAAGAGGTCTTATACTCGACCATAGACGGTCTAGTGACGACCACAAGCATTACAAATCAAAAATATCGTTTTCACTATTTGATTAATGCATTGAATATTTCGTTTTACTAATTTAATTATCAATTCAATTATTATAATTTGTATTAAATTCATAATTATTTCGTATATACATAGACATAGACATTTGTATATATTTAATTATCATATATTCAATTTATAAAAATGTGCTCGGTCTATTAGAACCATGTAAATTTTTATAAATTATATTCTGATACGTAAAGTGTCAAGAATTTAATATATTTTACACTAATTGCCTTTGTAATATTATATTAGTTACGGTGACCTATCAATTATCGTAAAATGGACATCATATGCATCTGCATGTTTAAATCGCACACTTAGCAACTGACATTTTGATTCTTATCGTCATAACTTTGAAACTACAGTTTCAGACAATTTCGAATTTCTCAATGAGAACAGTAGTCATTCCTTGTCTTTTTGTCTCATGGTTTCTTAATCCTTCACACTTTCTAAAGATCTGTGCACTTTTAAGGATAAGCATGTTTATGTTGTTATTTATGTATTTAAAGTGTATATTTATTTACATATTTATGTTCATTTCGTGTGAACGTTTTCGCGTTTCGTTCATTCCATCTACTTATCTTATCTTTACTATCCAAAGGTAGTCCGGAAGAGATTGCTTAGCGATAAGACCGCCTTTCGTATCAATTTATGTTAACTTACTATTTTCTGTATGTGGTTGGATAAGAATATAATAAATGAAATATATAAATAAACTGTATATTCAAATAACTTTGTGGTTGTTGCACTATCCTTGTGCCAGATTTGCTTATCTTTTATCTGAAGAAAAAGCCGTCTAATTCGCAGATAACAGCCAATTTATATTTATTTTTTTAAATGGAAAACAAAAATTTCCTTTTGAGTAAATAATATTTTATTATAGTGAAGTGACATTAATAGGTATACATTATTTTCTAGGAGAATACAAAACAGCGGCTCGTCGTCGTCAAATAGGAAAGAGGAGTCGCAGGCGCCGAAATCTGTATTGCCAAGACCACAGCCGGCCAATCGAACGGTAACTATCAATACTAAACAACTGATAGAAATATTTAAATACATTTTTTCTGGTAAATATAATACTTAACTAATATGAATAAATTATATATAAAAAATATGCATAAAGTATATGCATATACAGTGTGAGGAATCTAGACGAATTCAAATATACGAAGCGAAAAGTGAGCATGTCAACTATTGAGTTCATCACAAAGTCAACAGTTGACAAAGGCACTAACTACACCATTTGTGCTAACAGTTAATATTGTATTTTGTTTAATTTTACTACAGACTCAGCAGCAGCACCAGAATACGTCGCGGCCTATAAAAAAGAAAAAGCCAAGAATAGCGGCTAACCTGCCCTTCCAAACGGACTAGACTAGTTTTCATATCATACACAAAATGTGTTGCCAATAAAAGACAAACATTGGATTTCCAGCGAGTGAGTATAAAATATAATGCATAAAAAAAGAGGAAACAACTTAGTTAAGAAGTGAAAAAATTGTAAAACATGTACATATGTTTATGGAATGTTTGAGATCTGTATTTGACTATAATTGTGATTAAAATCAAATGTACACAATAAGGTTAATATTAAACAGTACAGTTCCTCATACTTATTAATGGTATATTTCCTCTATTATTTATTTTCGAAGTCTAATAAATATAAACTTTTATCAACTAATTTGAGATCAATGAAGATTAATTTATAAGAAATTACTGCAATCTCCTGAATTAGAGGTTCAGTCCATACTGGTCAACTACATACATCCTTTTATTATAGTTATTAAACAAGTAATAAGAACGTTTTTAACTATAACACTATATTGCTTGTAGCTGGCCAGTGAAAAAGTTTCCTAAGAAGTTTATAAAAAAAAATATATTGAATTGGAAATTTCTGTTTTATTTCTTAAAATCATAATAATTTATTTGCCTATTTTTATTATTCTGTATACCTCTAATTCAGAGAATTGTATACACTCTTACTTTCCTAAGATATTGTACATAGTGGATATATGTGAAACTTTTGTGATAGTATATGAATGTTAAGTGTGTATACGTACATAATAATGTGTCTTTAGTGAATGCAAAAAGTTTATTTATTATTATTTTATTTTTATAATGCTAAATTACAATTATGAGTTGTCATAATAACGAAATTAAATACATGTATATGTAATGTATGCCTCGTTTCTTATAGACAGTAAAGAGCCAGAAAAGGTTAGAAGTTACTTTACAATAAGTGAAGTAATAATATCCGAAATGTCGTTAAGAAATATTCTTCTCAATCGGTTGTATATTTTTATTTTTTTGCAATTTTATTGGAATGTATGACGTACATAACTTACTTGAAGTTTTCCTGTTCTGTGATATAAAAAAAAATATTTTTAGTCATAGTTATAACGTTACCGGGCTTTAAATAAACGGTAGTCGGATCGTACTTAAATGATTTAAAATAAGTTTAAAATAAATTTTAACTTTTTGTATTTACTATACTATCTGGAAAAATCTTGATCAAAAAGCGGCGTAGTGAAGAAAGTCGCACACGTAACGCTTGCGTGCAAAATAGGTAAGTTCGTAATAGACTGTAATCATATGTTACTCGATGTTTTGCCTGAAACTGGACTATATATATATATAATCGTTTTTTGATCTCGATTGGGTGTACTCCCTTCTTTGTAGAGTATTAATATAATTAAGAAATATAACCTATTAAGTGTTTTGTTTTGACCCAACTGCTTTATAAAAAAGTATGTAAGTATTTTCGCACGTAAGTGTACGGACCTAAATCTCAGAGGTGAGCAGTAAGCAGGTGCTGTTTCTCAAGATGTTTGCCGTTAACAGTATCTACGGTACAAAATATTTTTTTATAAAAACTAGACTTGGAAATGTTATCTGTGAAGTACAAAAACAAATTTCAATAAATTATATACAGAAACATTAAAACCCTTTGTGTGTTAGAGGGTCTATTTTGATTAGTTGATATTGAATTCTATTTGATTTTCTTGACTCATGAAAAGATCAATTATCTTGATTACTTTTTAAAATCAAGATTGTAGTAATAAAGTGGACTTCTGAAATAATATTTGTTTTCATTTTTAATTTCCATTTAATGTTACAGGCTGAACAATTAACACCTAAAGATCTGTTTCATTAATTTCTTCATTATTTAAGCCACACTCTTGTTGGTAGAGATCTCAACTAAGATATAACAATGCACTCATACAAGTTTAGTATTACATTTAACAAGGCTCTTGTTTAGCATTTGAATTCGTTTGAATTTTATGTGACCAACAGCAGGCACTGACTGGGTCAAGGACCACTCAATATTAAGTTCAATCAAAGTCATTATTATTTTTTATTTCGATTCACCCCTTGTTATTTGTTCTCTCTTTTTTACATCCATACTTTTATTTATTTAACCAAAATAATAATAATTTAAAACAAATATGACAGACACAAAAACAGTCTCAAATGAAGGCAATATTAGTATAGTGGTAAAGGTATGTAGAAAGATAAAAACTATTTCAGTGTTTACTGATTATTTTTTATTGTTTTCTCAAATAGTAACTGTGTAAGAATGGCAACACCAATATATAACAGTAGAAATGTAGAAAAATCTAGCAGACACTTATAAAACAATACCCATTGTTTGGGTGTCATTTACTTTTTGGGTAACTGGAATGTAATCAAGCTGACAGCCAGCTGGTGACCATCACTTATATACATGAACAGTATATCTGATATTCCACGACATGTGACCCTCATTATCATGGTACACTTTCATTGTGGTGTAAACTACCTGCTGAGGTTTTCTCAATAGACTACAGTATAGGGTTTTTCAAGAAGGCTATATGAAGGATACTATAAAGGGTCGGCAAATGTTAAGCATCCATATGCTATGGTAACCATTTACCATAACCAGATAGGATGTAAGCTTGCTTCCTACCATCATAGTATAAAAAAAAATTGTTGTGATCTTGGAGAAGTTTAATGTCATGTCTTCATATCCAGTAATTTCATTGCTTCACCTTTCAATCAAAACAGTTATAAACCAAGCTGTTTGGAGGGTGAAATTGATGAGATCTTGCTTGACTTTATACAAACATATTAAATACAATGTCAAAACTTCATTCTGCATCAGTTATGACCATGTCAATACTTAGATTATTTGATTTAGATTGTTCAGTCCCTCATATACTTCATCCTTATGTAACAGATCACTGATACTTTTAGAAGTCCATTGCACCTTCTAGGAAACACAAGCAGTCTACTTTGTTGATGATTAAATCTAAATCCTTCTTCGATATTAATTTTCTTTTATTTGAGGCTGTGTATGAATATGTTTCCTTTGCTATTGTCTCCAAGAATAGTTCCTAAAATAAATATCATAATACTTTATTTGCATGGATGTGTTGTAAAAAAATATAAACAATGAACAATTACACCAAAATTTAGTGTGGAAATTTAATATATTCATAACTCATTATCAATGCCTTCTCATTCTCCCATTATTTGGTGTTGGTTTAGTATGTTCACAGTTCATATAATCATTGCAAATAACTAACATATGTCTCAAATAGTAGTGGTATTATTTTTATTTTATAATTTACATGTAAACATAAACAAAGAAGAATAAAAAGTATCACATATATACAAATCATTAGAGCACTATAAAAACTTTAAAAGATTTGACAAAAAATATGACCAAACATGAAATTTAAAAAAAATTTTTTTGCAAATAATACTTACAGTAGCCTTTGTAACTAAGAATACCGCATCGCCAGATACTACACTCACGTCGGGATCCATTTTCATTATATTTTTTATACGCGCCATCGGCAGTCTGGTTGAACGTATAACCTCACTTTTATTTTGTGGTCTCTTTTCCTCAGGCTCTTGGTCTTCAGTGTTTAACAATTCTGTGTCTTGTATAATACTTTCAGTATTTTCGTTTTCAGAGTAATATAAATATTTTTGTGACTCCATAACAATAAAATTATTAGTTTCACTGTCATCTATTCTGTCTGATAATTCAACTTCTGTCATCTCTTCAGTCATTTTATTAGACTAAGTAATAGAGATACTTGAAATGGCATAAACTGAAATTAAATTAAATTTTTAAACTAGTTTGCTTTAGAAGCAAAATATGTTCTTCGTTTCTAATTTTGTGACAAAAATATCATCTTGTTTACAGAAAAGTGAAGTAAAGAATGAAGGAATGAATGCATGATATCAGTCACTGCGTCAAAGAAATTAATGAGAATAGACTGACATATAGTCATCTTGACGGTTATATTTTTTTAAATAACGACGGCGCGGCGTGTATAATTTCGAGTTTCTGTTCATAAGCACAAAAACAATAGTATAATCAATTCAAATTACCGAATAATAACTCAACGCACTTCCTCTGTTATCTTTACTCTTTCGGTAAGCGATGTTATTTTCATGTAGGTATCAAGATATACATATAATAGTATATATTTTGCAATCGAAATTGGTTTTTATCTCGCGTTCATAGCCCGTAGGTATTCATATTTAAAAATTTATTAGCAGTAGGTATATAGTTTTTAGATCCTATAGAATCTAAAAACTTTATATTTCAGAGTCAAAATATATATTATCTGTTTCCATAAGCGATTCAGAATGGTTTAAAATGTTATGTTATGCGCCTCCGATAAATGGGCAATATATTAAGAAAAAAATATAGAATGAACGAGAAAAATATGGAACGGAAGACCTAGAGGTAGGACAATATAATATGATATTTGTTTTATCTGAAATTATCTGGAAAATGGAACTGGGACATGGAAAATAAAAAGAAGTTTAAATTGTAATAAAATATAATTATCAGTTCGAATTGAGTATCAAAACAACATTAACATAATTATGATCGGAATTATATACACATACAGACAGTAAAACAAAATAACTATTCATAATACAACATTACCCTAATTGTAATATACCTACTGTACATTAATCAGTTTAGATATATAACTAAACATTACAATATTAGATATTTAAATAAATTAAAAGTGCATCTAATTTCCGGTGATAGGTATATTTTCATTTAGGTACAGCAAACAGAAAATCTGTAATATTTTTTTAATACAAACCAATTCCCCATGTATGGGACTGCATTTATGAAAATAGGATTATTTGATTGATTTGCTTTTATTTGATATTAAAAAAGCCATACAATGTAAAGTTTTTTTATTTTATTAGAAACCTACAGTTTTCATAAAGGTAAAAGAAATATATAATTTATTTAATACGAAGACACTTCATTATTATCGAGCTTCCTATGGAGGCCCTGAATTTGCAGCGGTGATAAATCACTTTTTATAAAATAATTTTATTAAATACGAATTTAATTCTCATAATCAACATTTAAGACAATAAGGCACTTTTTCAAACTTTTTAGATCATGAGCAGAGCTCGCCTCTCCATAACTTATTTTGATATATTTATACAATTCAATAAGCCAATAGAATTCAATCTGTCATAAACTGATGATATAAGCTGCATGATATAGTTGTCATGTTTTCCGAGATGCAACAACCTTACGATTAACCAACTGTAAGTATATTAGCAACCTTAGTCGAGGCTACTCTAAAACCGCATATAGATACCTAAGTTTTAAAGTAATATAAGACCATTATATAAATAGTTTTCGGTCTAGGTATATACAATATTGGAGGATATTTCTACTACTATCTTCATCTCATTCGGTCGGTACGTTACATATTGTTTTTTCCTGTTGGGTTCGATTGACTCATATTTTTCACCGTTCAAAGTATATATGTGGTTCTAAGCACCTACTTAGATTTTTTTTAGATTTTATTTAGACTTATAATTTTGAGTTTTAAATATCAATATAAATTTTGGTCTAGTTTCAGATCCTAGCATATGAATTAGTAATTAGTAAGTAGTCTCTATTTAGGTTTTAAAATTTAGATACTACGTATTGTAACAGTATCTACTTATTTAGAGCTTGTAACCAACTGTAATTATTTTTGGATATTAATACTATGTTAATTTATATTGATTTTCATGTGTTTATGATAAATGATAATATCGAGATTTGTAGGTACCTTATTCATACAGAAATTAATTAATCGCATATGAATTTCTTATGTTTCTGTAGAACAAAAAAGTTAGTTCGAGCAGTTAATAATGAAATAGGTTCAGCAAGTAATTAGATCAATCTTTGGTAAAAAGATACCGCAAGTAGTAGAATAACATAATCTGTAGGTATTTAATAAGTCATTTTAAAACTAGCGAAACCTATCCCATAGAACATTCAGCGAAATTAAATTAGTGCAATAAAAATATTTGTCTATTGCAACCTACTAGGTATTGTTACTCGCTTTGGTTCGTATAATTATTGTAGAAATTCAATCGTTCTCTTGAACAAAATTATATGTTACATAACATAATTGAAATGTCTAAAGTTTATCAAAGATGAAACCCATTGACTTCATATACAACACATTTTTTTCCAAAATGGCTTCTTGTTCTGTATAACGGGCAAGCCAGCCAAGATGGCAGCGTCGAAGGCATCTTTTAGTTGTTTTCTAGTTTTCGATGAGGTTTCTATGTAAATTGCGTTAATTTTCGCAGCAAGTGCTCGCGCCTCCATCTCTGTGATTGGATGTTCTCCACGGGCCTGAAAAAGAAACGAATAACTTAGTATAACAAAGAAAAAGTACGTTTAGGTACATACTAACAATTATTTTAATAAATAAATATATCTAACCCTAGAAATTAGACAGCACTACGGACATCACGTCATCATGTAACGCCCCTACTACCCATGCCTTATAATTTCTGATGACTGTTGTGTTACTGTAATTTTATTGCCATATTGCTCTTTGACTAAAACATGATTTACAAAGGAAATTGGTAGGCGGCAGAAACAGATGTAGCCACCTAAGACTATGTTAAAGTCTGTTTCAGAAGAGTATTATAAAATTATATTATTTCGTCGCGACTTTTAATTTTCTAACTCGCTCTGACTGATAAGATGTGATACTACATACGTATTTTTAAATTAGGTGCTTACTGGAATAAAGAGTGCTTATCTTAGATAATGTATTATCACTAAGAGATTATAATTGATTAGTCCATTTTAAATAAAAGTCTGTTATATCTGAAACAGGTACACCTATCTACTTATAACCATCTCGTAATTTAACAGATCAAGAATAATTCAAGTGCTACATTATTTAACTGCTATATAATAAAATAATAATACTCCGATTAAGTATTATTATTTTAGTTATTGTTATTAGCCCGACGATACATACGGTCGGTCAGTCGTCAGGTTTATTATCGAATGGGCTAATCGGAGTCTTTCAGAATGTTAATTGACGACGGGGGTAGCGGATTTTTACGATTACAGCTAGCAATGTACTGTGTTAGGTCCATCTTCACGCAGCTTCCCGTGGATACTATCGTGGTTCATTAGCCACGATTGCCTAACTGACCTGCCTTCAAGCCTATCCTATCATCCTTCCCTGGTGCACCACCAGCATATATCGCTGGCGTTGACCGATTGTATATCAGCAGTCTTTGGGTTAGTGTCGTGTCCAAGACGATACGTCTTAGACATGACACTTTACTGTAGGATGAATATTTAAATACATGACTTACTCGCAATGATTGCAGCACTCGTGGTTCCGTGGCCAAGTCACTTTGTGTACCGACAAGGATTAGGGGCGCCTTAACACCAGCAACAGCTTTCGTCCACCGTTCGGCGACGGACTTAAATGTCTCTGGACGCACCACAGAGAAACACAGCATTAGCACATCTGTGCCGGGGAAGCACAGCGATCGGAGAGGCGACATTGAGTCCTGGAAAGAATTTATTTACAAATTTATACAAACTACTCATACTCATTACCTACTCTATTATCTCAACTATAATATTCTCTTAGCTATATATAAACTTTTATGATAAAGAGGAAACTTATTTTATAACAGATAATGTCAAAATACTTATAAAAATACCTAATGGATTTTTAAACTTATTTCACCTCTAAACTTTCTAGAGTATATTTGGTTGCAACACTGGCTGCATTGAAATTAAAAAAGTTAAAGGACTCAATAATATAGACTCAAGATACGCCCGTGCGAACCCTGTGTAGGTTGTTGGGGCTTTGACGGTATACGGGTTGGACGGTAGATGTTGGTGTGGCACCAGTGGAGTATGATAGGACATGAAGTCAGTTTAGTGGGCACATCGTGACAAATTCCTAAGTAATTAACCACAATATCTTACAGGATGGATTGAAGGTAAAAGTAAAATAAAGTAAATTATAAAGATAATTTTTCTCTGTTTATTATAGGTAGTCTAGGAGTTATTTTTTTAAACTTGTAATCAATGTAGGCGTTTAGATGGCCATTTGTCTAGTATAAACTCTGTAATTGCTCTGCGAAATAGTCCGCTCTATCTCATCTTACGCGTGATCGCCCAGTAGTCGAAATACGACTATAATATAAAATATAAATTTCTTTGAATCAGCAATAAGAAATATATAGATTGTAATAGTAAATAAAAAACCAATGCATGTATGTGTCAAATACTTCTTAATGTGAGTAATGTTTTTTGTTATTGATTTAGGTAATGTATTTTTAATGCATATTTAAAAAAAAAATCAGTATTCTGTACTCCATGTTATAGAAACGAATGACAAGTGTGTGAAATTTTACATTTACCCGTCTGCTCAATTTTTATAAAGAGGGGTAAAAACTTTTTGTTCACGTATATAGTAGTAATATACAGATAAGTAGATAGTGTATATCGAATAACAGTTATTTTCAACATGCCATCAAATTGAAATGAATATCATCATTTGAATAACTTCAATTTTACGTCAATGAAGCCTTTGAATTACGAAACATTTAATGAAAAACTAAAACGGAGCATTTTTTAGAGAGCGACTGCTAACAGAAACGGTGGCCATGGTGAAAGTGGCCCATTGATACGGCAGCATACAATTGTAGCACTTTGTAGCACTATTTTATGTTGCCTAATATATCTGCCGAATTTGTTGTGCAACATCTCCCTTCGCTATGTCGATACCATATAAGGACATGTAATACTGTGTTGGAATCACTGAAAATAACGAATAATTACACAACTACAATTATTTGATTGGAATTGCTAGATTGCATGATTTATTTTGATATAATTGATGTACAAATTGCACTGGCCAGGGTCGGATTGAGCGAAGTAAAGGCCTTTAGGCAATGCAAGTCTTGGGGCCGCTCTCTCCCTAAGTAGGCAGGGTTTCTCTAAGATAGCGAGTATTTCATTAATATTTCAATTTTTAACACATTAGATCTATTCTATTTTAACACAGGACAATTTACACAGCGCCATCTAATCTCAAGCAAAGATCTTGTATTATGGCTACTAAACAACTGATAAAATACTTAATATTTTTGTATAATATGTATGTAATATATATATGGATAACATCCAGACAAATACATATCATAATCATGAATACGAATTTTTGTACCATGCAAGGAATCGAACTCACAACCATCGGAAGCAATCCGGTGTGTAAAACCGCAAGAACACTGATATCGTAATTACTTTTATTACCGTTTTAATAGATTTTATTGATCGTGATAATAACACATATAACAAACGAAATTGAGCCGTGATACAGCCTCTGTGAAATCGGTTGAAAAATATTTGTTTATTTAAAAACGTTTCATAGATTCAGTGTATTTAAGAATTACTTTGTATGTAATTACGTTGTAAGTTGTTAGCATGTCGTGACGTTTACGTAATTTAATGGAAAAGTATACGCACGCGAAACACGTATGTATAATTTAAAATTAAATGTGACGGAAGCATGTGTTGACAATTACAGCGTCGCAGAGCTGCCACAATAGGTGCGATCGTAAAGCCACAGGTAGAGAAACTATGGGAACCGACAATGTGCGACTATTGTTGAACAGTCGAAAAAATGGCAAATGTTTGATCAAATCGATCCAATACCTTTCATAACGTAAATACACGTGCTGTTTTTTTTTCGTGTGAAAATTTTGAGAGGTTGCGTTCGTGAGATCTGCGTAACATCCAGCTTTCCCAACTAGTATTATCATTTTTAATAGCACCTTGGTACTTTTATAAAAGGTGGGGGGATGGGGATTGTAAGTAATGTGGATTAACAACTCCATTACTAGTAATGTACCATGTCAGGTTGACCTCCACGCGGATCTCTCTGGAAACTATCATGTTAAATTCATGGCGAATTTTCCGCGATGGGCTAACTGACCTGACCTCGTACTCATCTTATCATCATCATATCTACTCATGCCCCGCCAGCGTATACTGTTAGCGCAGGCGAGTGCACCATCCCATTATCATCCCTTATTTAAAAAAAATTAAAGCGGATTGTTATTACATTTCAACAGGTGACTCTCAGCATGTTTGCCATGGCAGATATAAAAAAAGAGATAACAAAACCCGTTCAGGTAAGAGCTCGTGGAAATAGCAAATAATGTTAAAAATGTAAAGTTTGTTTGTTTATTAGATTGTGAGTCCTTGACGTGTCTATGACTCAATTTGACATGCGTCACACTTATAATTCTTTATATGTAGAAATACATACATACATAACGTTAGCCCGGTTTTTTAATGATAAAATATATTAAAGCGATATTATGGAAAAGCGAAATTTCGTTTAACGTCCTATGTAGTCTAAAGTTGCCTTGAAAAAAATGATTTTACATTAAGACCGTCTTATTATATCTATATACATGTATTCATAAGTATTTATATGGTCTTTTACTCATAAACTTTCGCGTTTATAAAATTATTAATAAGATATAGATAATTAGATGTGTTGTAAAAAACTGTTACCTACTAATTATATTTACTATATTAGGTACTATTATAATTACATTTATTAAATAAACAAAAGAATATTTATTTTGAACCGATTGATACGTCCTTATTGTCCATAGATTGAAGGTCCATGCCCTTTTTTGCGTTTATTTATTAGAACACAAAACTTGCATTGTTTTGTATTGAAGTCGCTTAAGTCGTTTTGACATTAACATGCACAAGCATTAGCAAAACATTTTTTTAACCTCTGCAAGGTAAGGTGAAGTTTACAACGTGTACGAATGTTTTTATGTAAAAATATTTAATGTAAACACGACTATTAATTTTGCTTTCAGGTAACATTTAGGCTTGTTTCCTTCTCTTTATCATCAAGGAGGAAGTGAGTGAGTATGGAGGAAATAGGAAGTGCTTATTTAACAATAATTGTAGTTATGCATAATTGAAATACTTCTCCACTCAGTGACTATTACACGACTTTGTGTAAAAACTTATGAAAAAAGACATCGTACACTTTGTACAAAGTGATCTGCGTGTATACTATCTCTAACTCGCCTATTTCAGCCGCCAAACAGCTTGCTTTGCTTTGTAAGCTGTAGAAAGCGAGGAGAGATAAAGTATGAAATTACTATTATTTATTATTATTACAGGATATTAATATTTTAGTCCTCTAAAATGACAACACATGAAGACGTGAAGTCCCCAGTGCTGTTAATGTTAACACGTTCGGCTTGTTTGCATTACATTAAAAAAAAACCCTTTTTTAAACGGAAATTATTTTAAATAGCGGAATTTTGTCATACGCTTTTCAAGCATTACGTCAAAGTCAAAGGAACTAAATTACTCGTATACTAATACACCTAGTTTATGAGCGCAATGAATAATGTATCTACAACGAATTGGAAATAAAGTGTATAATTATTCTATGAATCACAAAAACTAATGCTGACATTGACAGATAAGGATAGTGCAAACTTTATCCTCCGACTTTTCCTGAACGGAGTTCTTGATTAGGAAACCGGAAGGTTTTAATATAAATAGGTAGACTATAAATAGAATCGTTGACGAGATTTTCTTACGTGAAATGCTGACAGAAACAAAAAAAAAACAGAAAAAATGAAACCATTCATATGTGGACACGTCAAGTGTTGCGTTCAACACGACATTTAAATGGGATTATTCATCTGCCTACCCTATGTCGGATAATTGTTGTGAAATTCCTTCCCCATCCTGAATATAAATAAAATATTGTTGGAATTGTACTCACCTGTCCAGCAGTATCACAGATTTCCACGCAGACCGACCGATCGTCCACGTTCACGGCAACTGGAAACAAAGAAGGAAAAATGTTATTAAACATGTCAATCAGCATAAATAGAATAGAAAAATTTATTATATAAATAAACTTAAATTTACGCACTTTTGAACACTTTTGGTAATCTATAACTATATCTGCAAGAAGAAGTGTTGTTCTTTTAAACAAATGTTGTAACTTACATTTATATGTCAAAATATGTGTGAATACTACTAAATAGCAGGAATTAATATAAAAATGAATAAAAATTAAGTCACAATTCAACAAACGAATATTTGCCCTGCAACTTTTTAATTACATAAATAATTAGAAAGAAGAATTGTATAAGTATTACCACATAAATAGTGTTTTTATAACACTAAATACGTATTATAATATATTGTATAAAAAACTATTCAATTTCTATGTACCCATAACTTTCTAAAGTGTACGCACCACAGTTACCTAATACCACAGATAAGAGAATCTAATACTAAACACAAAATACTTAAATGTCAGCAGAGCATGGCCGCAACACCTCATTGAATTAAAGTTAAATTTGAAATTATAATATAAATTTGTTAACTTCTTTTTCTTTAACATATCTTTACTAATTTAGGCACTTAACGTATATTATAGTATTACCATATAGTCTTATAATGTGACACAATTCACACAGAATTTGGTTCTGGGACATTTTTATTATTGGAAAACAAAAGTAGAGCTATTTAATTAAAATTGCATGCCAATATAGTCTATGCAGTAGAGAAAGGGAATTGTTAGTAATGTGGACTGATGACTCCATGGTTAGCAATGTACTATGTCAGGTTAACCTCCACGCAGTTTGCCCTGGAAACCACCGTGATAAACTTCTAGTAAAGTGACAATAGAATAACAGATCTGATCTTATATTTATCTTATCATCCTTCGCTAGTGTCCCGCCAGAGTTAGTGCAGGCGGGAACAATATTCCATTATTATCCATTAAAAAAATCTAGGCTTTGGAAATGCGTCGCGAATGACGCGATACGCCTACCGCGTACCGGATACACGCGGTAAAGCACTAGACGGTACATAGTTCATGCGAACATCCTGCGTTTTGTTGACAAACCTGTGTGACTGGTCACTTGGGTTACATGGACTTTAAACTTTAACAATAAAAAAATATTTTTTTTGTACAAAAAACACTGACATCGACCGAAAAAAATGTACACATCTAGCAATGAAGTTAGCACTGGAGTTCAAGGTAACTTTTAACAATGAAGAGGTATCTATATTGTAAATTAGTCTATACTAATCTTACAAAGTTAAAGAGTTTGCTTGTCTAATTGTTTGAACGCTCTAATCTCAAGAACGAGTTGGTTCGAGTTGAAAATTTTTTAAAATGTTGTATAGTAAATTTATTGAGAATGGATATAGAGTATCATGCTACTCGATGAAAATGTAAGAACTGAGAATTTTTTCATTTTGAGAACGCTCTCAACCCTCTTTCTTATGTGATGTATACAAAGTATAGTATACATTTAGTTAAATTAGTTAAACTTGAGGTTAAACTATCTCTTAAAAATACTTGATACAATCTAATAAAACACAATAGGTATTTATTAGATTTTATAAAGTAATTTTTAAAAATTTGTTTGATATTGAAGCATTTATTTATATGTTAGGTAAACATTAAAGTATGTTATCAAATGAAACATGGTCCGGGTTATGATATGTAATGACTACTTCACTGCTATATACGTAGGTACCGTATTTATTGCATATTTATCTTTGTGTGATTAATTTATTATTCCCAGCCATGTCTAGTGACCGCTTCCTTTAAGGGTGCAGTAAAGTGGAACTACTTCAATGAAGTAAGACGACACGAATTGAAATTTTAATTTGTTGGACAACAGGTTTACGAGTATTTGTATTTGGGGCTACTGTAACCTATCAGATCCAGCTCCACGCCATTCCCCATAATAATCGTGGTTAATTACTTGTGAATACGCTGCAATGGGATGTGATTTCATTCATTTATTCTCAACATATTGTCCTCCACTGCTGCTCCAACAGCTTAGTAGACAGGGTACCATATTTTATGAGAAAATAGTATCTTTTTACTCATAAAATACGACCGTATGTAAGTATAAAGCGTTAGTTGATTTTCGAGACATTGTATGGGCATTTTGGATATGCACTATGTTATTTACTGAACACTGATAAAAAAAATATATTGGCTTGATTTATACGCAAACATATTAGCACAATAACAATGTTTCTTAGTTATTAGTGGATAGAGTTTATTTTACAGAATCGCAGATGTAAATACTTTGTCAGTACGAATTGTCAATCATCGTAACATGATTGTTAACATGATTGCAAATTACATCACAATAGCCTGACAAAGGTGGCATTTTGTGACACAGTTACAAGAAGTCCGGGCGGCGCCGCTGCGACCTTCCTTACAAAAGAGCCTCATTTCGAATGACCTATATTAAAGGTGATATCTTTCCATTAGTTACTTTTGAAATGATTTATTTTAGGTAATGGATTGGTATTGACGCCTAATTCAATACATAATATTATATATGTTTATATTGAAATGTCTATAAGCATTTTTAGTTTTATATTTTAATGTGCTGATTCCGTAAATTATGTCGTAATTAAATTACTATTGAATGCTTGATATATTGACGAGAAAACTACTTATAGTCCATAACAAACAAAATCAATCTTATCTTAATATAATACAAATATAGGTATTAATTGATAGCAATAATTACATACATAAACATTAAAAAAAAAACTAGAGACTATATTTTTGTACTCTCGTTTCATTTCGTTCCTTATATCCTTGTAGTATGCATGTGTTTGTGTATTTTAGAATTATAAAAATCCTTATAAACGACTATATGTCTATATGTCCTCTGTTCTCTCTCCCACTTTTTGTTTGGTTGTAAAGGCCTGGTCCAACCAACACCATAGTTCGAACAGAATACTATTCCGAAGAACTAATATCATTCCTCTCTACTTTTACTATTTTACTGCCATATCTCTTCACTTGTCGACTGAAAGGTGAGATAGTACCCGCGTAAGCGACTTCCAGACAACAAAGTCTATGTAGGTATATATGTTCTTATATGTACATACATTAAATTCGCCTAGAAATTTACTTTTATCGCCAGCATCGTTGTGCAGACTCTATTATGAATAAGTATATTATCCATTGTAAATTCAGTGTCGCGGACCTCATTTTATGTGCTTTAGTTTATGAAGGACAATTCTACGAAACATGGTATGTAGGAAGTTTTAATGGAAAGGCTCCGTCGTAAAATTTAAAATGTTACGAGCAGTCCTGTATAATTGAGAACCTAGCTTAGGGCTATAAGCGTAGGGCCGAAAATGTCGGCGTTCACTAGGCCTATTTTCCATTGGACCCGAGGTTCCTAAATGTTCCCAAATGTGTGGTGTTTATCTTTACCTGCATTTAGTGTTTGCCAATGGAATATTTTAATTTATATAATAGTTTTATTACAGTTCAATCTGAAAGAAAATAGTTGAATGAGACAAATATGGCAATATCATCAGTTACAATTAAGTTAAATTCTTTTAATGTATTAAAAAGTCGGTTGAGAAGAAAGTAATAATATATTAAAGGTTTGATTTAAATTGTAGGCTTTTGTTCCTTATGTCCAATATTTCACAATATCATGTTAACGGTACTGAATATTTTATCATCAATAAGATATAATCGCACGGTGAAATAATGTTATGGCGAATAATTCGATTCGTACGAATAATCGCGTCTCTCGACTACACGGAAATATCGATAAAATTGTTATCGCGTTTCAATTAGTTTATAATAGAAATGCAGAAAAATAAAATAGGTTTCTTCTTTTTACATCATAAATACTGTATTTCGTATTTAAAATATATTTAAATGACGTATTTATTAGAGCGATTTCGCTAATTCTTTTTTTGTTCTTATAAAATACTAAATTAAGATCAAGATTATTTATATAAATATGTGAAAATATATTCTTGTAATATTTTCTTTCTCAATTAGATTTAGATAGATGCCTCCTACTATATTTACAAATATAGTAGGAGGTCATAAATGCCTAATCTAAGAAGAGGAATATTTATTTATTTTTATTTATTACTATTATTATTACGACAATAACATCACATTAAAAAATGGAAAATGAAATCGATTATCTACACAGATAGCTAATTAAATTCGTGTTAAGGTCTTATTAATTTATCAAAATGTCATGCATGTTTTTCGAATGAAATCAATCGATTATTTCCTCGCGAGGCGGTAACAGATAATTATTGCAATATTATCGCAAATTTATTTTGCTTTCGCTTTTTATAATAGTTTTACATAATTATATACCGGCACACATTATTAAAATTTAATTAAATATCATTAATCGATTTCCGTTAAATAAAAAGGAAAAATATATTTTACAATTAATAAACACGCCAACAGCGCCGTTTTAAAATTAAACATGACTTACAATATATTATAAATAAAATGGCCTCTCCATACTATTTCCTGGAGTCACATCGGTTTATTGAATGAATAAATGCTCACTGGTTACTTGTAACTCATCATTTATATTTTATTACTTATTCTGGACGTTAACAGCCATTTTTAATAATTAATGTTTTTATTATTCACTCTTTGTTGTTGTTAACATATTATGTAGGAAGTAGAATGGACTGATTATACGAATAATAATCTTCAACAGTCAATATTCATAACTTAATTAGACTACAACATTATTAAACTTATTCCATTTTCATTCATTCCTAATTTAAGGGTCATGTTCATGTCGGCGGAGCTCATGTCACTTTCCACGATCTTTAATCAAAACACTTCTTATAAAGTAAGCTTGAGGATTGAAATAGGTGAGGCGGAAATACACACTTTTTTTCAAACCGAATAGCCGAATTTGTATTATGGGAAGGGAACAACTAATAATAAAACTTAAATATATTTTTAATACAGAAATACATAATATATATAGAAACCGGCCATA